AAAAGATTAAAAAAAAAAAAAAAAAATCCTGCAAGTAGGTAAAAATCTTAAAACATTTTGCAAGAATATACCTCTGACAGATGGTTATTTCATATTTTTATACAAATTCAATTTTACCAAAGACCATAACCCAGAAGACTCTGACATATTGCTTGCATTTAAAAAAAATTAAGTACTTATGAAGGTTTTGAAAACTATCATTATTATAGTGCTTTTAAATATTAGATTAGAATTAATATTTTCACTAATAAATGCCGCTGTCTTCATGTTACTGATTGTATTTTGTAGTCAACTGAAAGTATAAAGACAACACAAAAGTAAGGCATTTTTGAGAAAAATAAGACAATCACTTAATCTATTAGAAATAATTGAACTCAGATTTTGATAAAATGATGTATTAATAAAATTACTTTAAAGACCACATTCTAACTATGATTATTTAACAACAAAAATTGATTATAGTAAGAGAGTAAGCAGAAACGTGGAAAAACAATGGAAACAAAACCAGAAGATGTAACTTACTTTGCCTTTAAACTTTTCCAGAGAAACCGTTCTTCCTTTGGCATCTTTCACTTCAAAAGTATAAAAGCTGTTGATTTTAGGTTTTACGAATTTTAGTTGTAGAAGAAACAGCATCATTGTGCATAGGACCATAGACAGCAAAACTGCAAATACTTTTGCTTTGGGCCCGGAGCATTTTAATGGGTGAGCAGCGAGAGGCTCCATTTTGGAAGGGTCTGGCGGGAGTCCCAGCAGGCTGGAATTCAAGGAGGGGCTGAAACTTGAAACCCGCTTAGTTTAAGGGAAAACCGGCAAAGACGGACCGGGCAAGCTTTTTTTTCCACGGCTAAGGATTAGAAGGACCCTTTCAGTGGTGCGGGTGGTGGGGATGGTGAGCGACCACAGAAAGGAAATAAGGAAGGCTATAGAATTTCAAGGTATTTGTGAGGTAATGCAATTCTTGCCAGAAAAACGAGTACAGTTTTGGTAGCTCTTAACATTCTCCCTCCAAAGAAAAGTATTTTACCGGAAGATGGTGCTCTTGTCATTTAGAAACTGAATTCTTCACTGCCCTAGGGAACTGGTTAGATGTGGAGGGCTGGGTACAGCGCTCAGGAGTAGATGGTGTAGATTAAATAGGATGTATTAATATGATGCCTGACCTGAGGGAACTTAATATTATCTCTATGGATTAAACATGCGATGGGTATCATTCAGGGAATGTATAGTGGAAAGTGCTTTATTTTATATCTTTACTTTTCCTTCTGGCTGTTGCTTGCTAGAGGAGGCCTAACTTGATTGCTAAAGTTGGTGAATTTTAATGGTAGGAATGGCAAGGCAACTGAGGGCTACATGTCCTAAAATCCGTGGTTCCGTGAGTTATCTCAGAGTCGGCCCTAGTGATGACACTGTAAGCTCTAAACTAAGGGCCTGAGCTTGGGTGTCATGGAGGGTCTCCACAACAACCCGGCGGAGTAGTTGGTGCTTCAAAGGATGTGCTCAGGAGTCGGCCCTACTCTTCCTCCATCCCCACTTCTGTGGTGTGTGTGTTTGGGACTAATCAAGCAAAGCCCACATTTTAGGATTAAATCTTTACCTAAAACTTCTAAAAGAAGCTACTTTATTCCTTCTCTGATGATCTGATAAGAATGGACACAGGAGAAAAATGATTATGCAGAGAATATTTCCTTTAAAACATTATTTTGTGTAAAGAACAAAAATGTACACAAATGTGTACAGCTGTGATAATTTTACTTTGGTGTATTGTGGTTGATGTGCTCCAGTAGTGAAAGCCCCCATGTTTCTGTTCCCCACTGACATTACCTCCTTACTCAGGCACTCTGCCCTTGCTCTCCAAGGGTCATTCTTGGCCTGCAGTGTGGCCATCACCTGGGTGATTGTTAGAAACAAAGCATTTCAGGGCCCACTCCAGACTTCCTGAATCAGAATCTGCATTTTTACAGGATTCCCCCGGCTTATGACTCATATGCATAGTTAAGTCTGAGAACCTTTAAAATACAATCTTTTATTTTTGATTCCTTAGCAGATGTTTCACATCTCCTATGCTATATATGTTAGTGTATTTAGCCTTTGTTATCCTCAGGCTGTCCAAGCAATAGTCCGGGAACTTGCATTTTAAAAGTAAATTCATAGAACACTTGCTAAAGCTTAAATCATGTAAGCCCAGTCCCTTATAATTGTGCTATTAGATAGGGTGATGGAGCCATCACCTCTGGGCAGGCAGGGCCACGGGAGGTGTTATTATTTTGATAAAATCATTGTGATAGTTTCTAGCCCATTGTAGTATAAGTACAAAAACTCTCATAAGGAACCTGCAGCTGAATGGGTTTGAGAAGGCCAAAATTATGCTGTACAAATGTCCAAGTGATTGTTGTAGAAGCCAGCATGTCAGATAAACAAGTATACAGGTCTGATGCTCAGGTGGGCGTTTGACCAGAAGATTCACTATATAGAAACACTATTTTGGAAGCTTTAGCATACCTCTCTTGTCAAGGATGAAATGAGAGACAGTGTATTGTTAACTTAATGATCCTGAGGCTTAAGCGCTCAAACAAGGAAAACACGCCTATATAAATTTCCACATACACCTTTAGCCAAATGTTCAAGATGATAGTTTGGAGAACCCCTGCTCTGGATAGTGTTGGAGGAATACCAATTTTGGCCCCTTTGTTCATTTGACAGAATTTTTCTCTGGGTCTATTTTGATGTCATTATCTCTTAGCTTCGGTCTATAGAAAGACTAGTCTCAGACTATAAATATTTAACAATTACAAATTTTTTTGTTTAGGGGGAGTATGCTAGAAAAATCACTAGCACTCTTTCAGTAGATGAAGGAAAGCTATATTAAGGGGAGGAAGAGATTGATAAATTGAAGGCCAAACCAAGGGGAAGATACAGGGTCAACAATGGCATAAAGCAGTTGATTCAGTTAATCAACTCAGGTGCTAGGATACAAATTACAGCCTCCTACACATTTAAAATCAATTTTGGAGATTCAAAAACACAAGAGATAGGAAGAATTACAAGGCAGCAAGCCCTTTTCGCTCTATACTGCATTTTGCATGAAGGTGATTTTTGCTTATGAAGTTGATAGTGTATGTGATTTCCTTTAGTATATATTATTTCCTTTAAACAATTCTTTGAAAGGGGAAGAAGTTAATAACTCAGCCAAGATCACAGAATTAATGAATGCAACAACCAAGGACAGAGTTAAGGACTTTCAATTTCATAATCCTAATTATTTCATCTTGATTAAACCATTCTTTTGTAGTAATTAAAATATGTTTATTTGGAAGAAAACATGAGAGACAATATTGTTGTAGTAGTAGTCAGGCCATGAGGTTTTACTCACCTGAGATATTCATTGTATAAGAAAACACGAGTCCAAAGAGAGGGGAGAGTGGAGAATAACAACAAAAAAGCTTGTTCTTGTGTACTGAAGTTATCTGGAAAGCATCACAGGAAGTCTGCAGAGCAACAAGTTAAGATAAGAAAAGACAGAGTCTGAGTGAGGCAGTCTTTGCCAGTGGAATGGATTCTAGGAGGCCCCAGTGACAGGCATTGGGAGTGGAATGTAGCAGATAATGCCTGCCTGAAAACATCCTGCGAGTTGATTTAGCCTTTAAAACAGATACATACAAACAAAAACTGTGCATATTTATAAGGTACTCATGTGATTCTTTTGGATAAGTATGCACATTACGTAATGTTTAAATGAGAGTAAATATGTCTATCTCTTCAAACATTGTTTATGGTGAAAACATTTAAAATTCATTCAGCTTGTTGAAATATACAGTAATTATCATTATCTATAGGAGCTTGGCAATTTTGTCTTGGGTTGTATCTTGTCACTGGGATGTAAAGGCTTTTGGTGCTCAAGAATGAGAGGATGAGCACCAGGGGCATAACTCAGTGGCTCCGTGCTTCCCTAATATGATGAGCCCCTTGGTTCAGTACAGATGAGGATGGAGAGAGAGAGAGAGAGAGGGAGGCCCAAAATTTGAAGCGTCTTATGAACAGAACGCTACTGTAATGGGCTAATGAGGGTGGGGTGGTGGTGGTTAGGGCTACGGAAAGCCAAAGGGGGGACATGCCTGAGAGCTCACAGGAGCATTTTTATTACTTTTGTCTTTGTCATGAGATTCTTGGAAGATTCTCCACCCACTGAATATTTTTATGCCACATTATTTATCACTAGATATATTTATTTCTCTTTTCTCAGTTGTTTCATGTCGCGAGCCGGCGACGCAGAGCACTGTCCAGCAGTGTCTCAAACCTGAAAGAGCAGCGGGGTGGAGATGGGGCAGAGAGAAAGGAAGGACGCCAAGACAAGAGTCTGATCAAGGCGGCGTTTATTGCCGGCAAGCACCGGCCTTTTAAAGCAAAAAACCACAAACTATTATGGGATGGGTTTACCATAGTAACTGAAAGGTCACACAGGAAAAGAGCAAACAGGTTCACCAAAACAACCCACCGTGAGTAGTAGTAACCCGGACAACCACACATCTAAAGGTCAGAGACAAGAAACTGTAACTTTCAGGAATTCCACAAAGGAAACACTCTACCTGCTAAACTGGAGAAACTTAACACATATGGAGTTACTAGAGTTAACAGTACTTACAACCAATACTCATGATCCCCACAGTTTCATTTTGTGACTTCCTGACCTTATTTTTTTCAGCTTTAATTGAGTTTATTGGTACATTTTAGGGATACAGTACAGTTACATTCATTGTTGGGATCTTGTACCTTTACATGACAAATCTTGGTTCTCATTTTTTCCCCTTGTCCCTGCCCTCCCTTCACCCCCCCGACCTTATTTTTAACCTCTCCAAGTTCCTTTCTATTTATTTTTTGGCTCTGGTGCTCTGAATTCCTCCCAATATAGTGTCAATATGATGTGAATTTTCAGAGTAAACAAACTGAACTGATGTGCTTGGAGTATCAAGTCATTCATCCTTTTTCCCTTCTTTGTCTTATTTTTCTTATCTTCCTCTTCCTCTCTGTTAATAAATACTTGAGTCATTTAAAACTATGCGACAGGCATTTCCTCAGCAGGAGATAGATCTGGGAACAAAAGCTTAAAAACACTAAAGATGAAATAGCAGTTTTTCAAGCTTGTAGTCATTTGCATGTCACCTCTGTGATTTTTGTGTATCATTTGTTATTTACTTAACATTTTATTTAAATATGTTAATTTATTTCACACAAATTAGTATTTTATAAGGTAAAATTTTATAACAATATTAAAATTTTAAAACATTTAAAATTTACATTAAAATATGTAACTATTAAAAATGTTTATCTAGGCCAGGGATTTAGCTCAGTGGTTCCATTGCCTGTCTTGCAAGCACAAGGTCCTGAGTTCAATCCCTGGTACAAAAAAAAAAAAAAAATTGTTTATCTGAACAAGTAAAAGCAGCAAAAAAATTATGGAAAAATGTTCAATATCACCGGTCATTCGAGAGATGCAGATGTGAACAACACTGAGATTCCACCTCACCCCAGAAAGAACGTCTGCTATCAAAAAATCAACCAATAACAAATGCTGGTGGGGCTGTGGGGAGAAAGGAACCCTTCTCCATTGTTGGTGGGAGTGCAGACTGGTGCAACCACTGTGGAAATCAATATGGAGATACCTCAAAGAACTAGGACTAGAGGTCCCATTTGACTCAGCCATCCCTCTGCTGGGTATCTTTCCAAAAGAAAAGAATCATACCACGGTGTTATATTTGCACCCATGTTTATAGAAGCACAGTTTGTAATAGCTTAAACTTGGAAACAGCCCAAATGTCCATCAACTAGAGACTGGATAAAGAAGATTTTTTTTCCTATAAAATGGAATACTACTCAGCCATAAAGAGTGAGATACTAGAGACATTTATAGCTATATGGATTCACATTGAGGCCATACTCTTAAGTGAAATAAATAGAACACACAAGAAGATACCAAATAGTTTCTCTGGTGTGAAAAACTAAAAGTGTAAATAAGGTTCAAATAGTATAATTGAGAGTGTGAAATAGGAAGAAAATGGCTAAAGGGGAAGTGGGAAGGGGACAAGAAAGGAAAAAGGGAAAAGAAAAAAATGTGAAAAAATATAAAAAAAGGAAACTGTCTTGGTAAATAGGGAAGGGTGGAGGGGGTGAAGGGAGGGCAGGGGTATGGGGAAAAAACAAGAACCAAGACATGTCATGTAAAGGTACAAGATCCCAATGATAAATGTAACTGTATTGTTTGCTTTAAATGTACCAATAAACTTAATGGAAAACAATGTTTATCTGTAACACTACAAAGCATTTGCATAGGTACCCAGTGGAAGGACTGAGAATTTCAAAGTGTTAACAGAGATTGTGCTCTAACTCTTTGAAAGTTCTTTGTTTTGAATAAAAATTTGTCTCCTCCACTCACTGGTTCTGGTTTTGTCATAGGGAGTCATACAAAGTAAGTTTTTCCTTTTTTTAAATGGATTTCATCCCTTCAAACTTTTGAAGACAGTTAATTTTGAGCCTTCTTTCTCCTAGACACTGTGTGTTCCCTTATTTCACTAAAGGGGGACCTACGTTGGGGTGAACTCTCTTACAGAGCTTACCTGGACCTCTGTCATTGCTGTCCCTTTCTTCCAGGTGAACTTGGGCTTTGAATCCTGCCTTGTCTGTCTCCCTTCTTAAAGAACAGTTTTGAGACTGGACCCAATTCTCCAGATTAGTCTTGACAGTCTTGAAACAATGGGATTCTGCTCTCTCCTATTCTGGGCACTATTTTTTCACTTAATGAGACCTAAAACTGCCTTGCTTTTTTAAAAAGGCCGTTTCATCACACTGTTGACTCCCAGCGGTGGTTGTCTAGTTACATGTCAATTCTCTTCTATCTTTTGTCTCTACAATGAAAAAAAATCTTGAATTTAATTTTGCTGCCTTTAATCCTTGTCTGAGATTTTATTCTGAATCATATTTCTGTCCTGTAATACTTTAACTATTTTTTCAACTTGAAATAATTAACTTTAAGAATTAAATTTTCACTTAAGCCACTGATAACAAGCTGAGCAGTTTAAGGCCAGGGAGAAAACCCCATAGTTCATCACAGGGGATTTATTCAGGCTAACATAGATCTGGGAAAACTTGTTCAATCTAGTATGCTGATGACAAACTTATTTCTAGTTACTTGCCCCTCCTATTTGAAAGTCATGAAAAAATTTGTCTATGGAGGCCGTTTTTCTTATTTGTCATTTTTTTCCCCATAGACCACTGACAAGTAATCAGTTCTGGGAGTGTTGTCAGTACTCTTGGATATCATTTATCTCATCCAAGAGAGTTGGACTTATTTAAAATGCCCAGGTATACTTTTATTGCTTTATTTATATCACTCTTCAGTTTCTGTGGAAATGTTTGTTTTACCTTGTCCAACATGAAATTTATTAATAGAGAAAAAAGAAAGCAGCCTTTTTCCTTGCCTCTGGATTCATTTTCAAATCCCTGTGGTTTTTTTAGTACCAGTGACCTCTAAGAAAAACAGATTTATTCATTTGTTCATTATGGAGTTTTAGATGCTGATAAATTTGCTATGCCCTGAGGAAAATAAGATGGAAGACAAAATCCTTGGTCTTCAGAAGTGTCTGATATAGGAGGAGATAAATAAAAATTAACGGAAAAGTGGACAGTGAGCACAGATGCTTAAAGCACAGGGACTCGACTGATTTGTCGAGCTCAAAGTTTGACAGCGTTGTTCTAGCTGATTGGAAAGGTTAGGCACTGCATATCCCAAAGGGTGCCACTGATAGAGATGATGTCTGTGCACCTATTTTTTCAGTGGCCTGAGCCTGGATCCCCTCCCTATCTCCGAATCCTTGCTCAAGTTATTTAACTCTGTTAAGTTTCATTTTCCAACCTATAGAGTGGGAGTAATAATAGTACCTACCTCATGGGATTATGATGCAACTCAAATTATTTAATTCATATATCCTATTGCTTGGCATATTAAGTTCTTGATAAATGTTATTATTAGTACATTGTCGTGATGCTCTTCACACAGTGAGCTGTGAAATTCAGGATAGGGTGTGCATTAGTTCTGTATATTGCAGTATGGCTGCTCTAACAAATGATGACAAACTTGGTGGCTTGAAACACATGTGTGTTCTGCTATGGCTATGGAGGCCAGGGGTCTGAGATCAGTTTCTCTGGGCCAAAGCCAAACTGTCAGCAGGGTCTCAATTCTTCCAGAGGCTCTTGGGGTGGATCCGTGCTGTGCTGCTTCTGGTCCTGCTGACTGCTAGGGCTTCTTGGCAGATGGACGTTTGCCCTACAAGCTCTGCTCTGTGATTGTGTTGCCATTGTTCCTCCTGTGCACAGCCAACTCTCCCTCTACCTTTCTCACAAGGTTATGTGTGCTTCCCAAGATAATCCACAAGCGTCTCCCCATCTTAATGCAGGTTAACCCTTGACTCAATCACACCTGCAAAACCACTTTCCTCTTTGCTCCTTTGACATGTACAGGTTTCAGGAATTAGGACCTGAACATCAGTGGGGACCATTAATTGGCCTACACAGGTTCCAATTTGGAACAAGGATGAAGGCATTTCTGATACACTTTCCTGAAGGAGCTGTTGGTGAACTCAGCTTTGAAGATGGGCTAGGAGTTACTCTGGCAGAGGGTTGTGAAGAGATCCCAGGAGAGGAGTATTCCAGATGGACAGACAGTGGCCGAGCCAGAGGAACACAGACCTGCAAAAGCAATGTGATTGTTAGTGTGAAATTTCATTTTTTAAGCTGACATGTCATTAAATTTATTCGTTATTTGCATTCTTTAAAATTTAGGATTATTTTGTTTTTTTAAAAAATATATTTAAATTCTAGGATACCAAGGAAAACTTGGAGCAAGTATGTCCATCTATCATGTTTTTTTTTTGTGTGTGTGTGTGCTTGTTTGTTTCATTTTTGTGAATTAAATGTATCTTAAAACCTGGTGGCTCCACCGTTTCTTGGTACCTGCAAAGATAAGGATCATTTGACTAGTATTACGGACATCACCCGACTGTGGCCAACAGACTGCTGTGCTTACTTCTACAGTGTTTCAAATTAGAATCAGCTAAAAACTTTGACAAGTGGAGAAAGTGATACAAAAGTCTACATTTCATAATATAGTGTTATTTATGTTATACTTTTAAACTTAAATATAATTCCTCAAACTATTTTGGCGCATCTGAAGACACTTGAGCAGAGGCTTAAAGTTTGTAATGGTGATTTAATGTTTAAAAGTATGTTCTCCTAGGTCATGAAAAGTAAAAATCTCATGCACACATATTTTGTGTTGTATTAGACACATGTAATTCTCTTTTAAGGAATTTTTACATTGGTATCATTGAAACCACTATAAATCACAACTCTTTTCTTGTTAAACAGGTATTTGATTCAGTTACTACACCATACTCTAACTTCAAGAGCAATATTGTGAAGAGGCTGTCAGGTGACGTTCCTGTGGCCAGTAGCCCACTTGCCACAAGATGGCAGCAAAGTCAAATCAGGGATTTGGAAGCCTGTTCCTTTGGGGATGAGTATTCCATCGCAGACATCTCTGAATCTGGGGGATCAGTGCTGCAGATAACGTCTGAGAAAGGCACCTTGACTCTAGGTGAGCCCAATCTTGAAATGTTAAAAAGGATGTATTCCCGAGATAATCTTTGTCTTGTAGAACTCTGTAGTATCATACTTAATTAACTGCTTCTCCCTTTCTCTCCCTTTGAATAAGAATTTTCCAAGGTAAGGTGCTAATGAAGCAAAACCAAAAGAAAGTGTGTATTAAAAGAAAATTATAACAATTCTTTTGAGGAAAGAATTGTTTGTGCATTGGCAGTCTGTTCTCAGAGCCAAAAGGTGTTCTGGGAACTCCCCCCAGAAAGGTGGGCAGGCAGCATTTATGGACAGAAAATGGAGTGAGGTCTAGGAGCTTACTGACTACAGCTGGGCCTTTGCCTCTTTTGAACATGATCTGATCAGTTGGCGGCCTTTGGTTAACTGACTGAACCATGATTGACTGAGGCCGCTTACAAAAGTATATTTCCAGTTAGGCTCTCAGGTACAGTAGTTAATCTACTCCATTGTGTTGTAGTTTTTTATTAAGGACTCAAAGAACATCCTCTGGCCATGTAATACACATTATTATTTTAAAAAATTAATTTTTATCTCTCTTTCTATATATATAGATATAAAATGATCACATTCATCATAGGGAGTTTGTACCTGTGTAAAATGTATCTTATTTTTCTTTTCTTTCCTCGTTCCCCTTCCCTCCCTTTGTTATGTTTTAAATATGGTTCTGAGTCTTGTATGGCTAGACAGTGATGCTTTTGCAAGACTTATGTATTTATAATGTATATGTAAATGTCTATAGGCAAAATATATATGCTTTTGTTTTGCAAATTATAGGATTTAATGACTCTAGTAAAGTTCCTGGTCTGTGGCAGTCCGAAAAGAGATACATTAGTATTGGTATAATTGGGCATGAAATTAGAGAAGAAAAAAGTGAAAGCAGAGAGGATGAGAGGAAAAGAAAATAAAGGAAAGAAGAGAGGGAGAAGGGTAGAAGGAGGGAGGGAGTGAGGGGGAAGAAAACTATGGAGAGAGAAAGAGGGAAGGAAAGAAGAGAGAGGGAGACAGTCTCATGCCTGCTGGGACATGGATAGAGGAAGGGGAACGGGCACCAGAACCCCCAGTATGGCCGACAGGATTCATAATCCACCTATCAGAGTCCTGAAACACAAGCTCTTTCTTAGTGAAATATTGTAGTTCTGCAGATTGCAAGGGAGCTCAAATCTTTTCAAACCAATGGAATTCTCATGTAATGACAAGTTTCAACACTGACATCTGCCAACTGCAGCTTAGGAGATACAGGATGGTAAGAAAGATCACTGTTATAACTGGCTTTTGTATTCATTTGTAATTGGGGAGGATATCTGGCTAAAGCTAGGGGCTTCCTTTTCCTTTATGGGACCTGAATTATTGATTGTTCATTAGTAAGGTATTGTGTGAAAAATTAAAAAGTCCAAGAGATAGATTATAGTCAAAAGGATTGTACAAGAAAATCCATTTTAGTTTCTACTTGATAGTAGGAAACTAACTACATACAGTGGTTTCTCAGTGCTTTGCTGGTGGGTTTTCTTTCTTTTTGTTTCATAGCAGTGAATACTGCAGATCCTCCCATTCCAAAGGGGACAGCTATAGATGTTCATTTGAGGTCATGTTCTGCCCACAGACCTGAGAGGTCTCTGCTTTGTTTGCCTAGTAGCCCCGACCACTTTGCTTTTGTTTTATTTTGTGGTACTAAGAGTTGAACCCAGGGCTTCACACATGGGAGGCAAGCACTCTGCCACTGAGCTGTATCTCCAGCCCTTTCAAAAATTTAATTTTAAGAGAAGGTCTTGCTGAATTGCCCAGGCTGGTGTTGAACTTGAGACCCTCAATCTCTTGAGGAGCTGGGATTACAGGCATGCACCGTCATGCCTGGTTCTGACCTCTTTGTTTATAAATGGATTGATTGACAGTACTTGCATCCAAGCACAGCTTTTCCTTTCTCACTTTAGGTTCTGAGAGCTGGCCTTTTTTTGCTCTATATTCTTCCATAAGTACAAAAAATTTGTGTCCAATTTCTCAGGACAAGAACAAGATCTAAAATTTTGAGCAACATTTCCTGTTTTCATCACCCCTTCTCCTTTAATATAATATATTTATCTTAGATTTTGAATCCCAGGACTTGAGGAACAAGGCTTTCGGGACAGTAGGGATGATTTACCAAGTCCATGGAAAATATAGCGGGGGATTCTCATGTGGCAGAGGACTCCTTGACCCCTCTGATGAATGTGATATGAGAGGTACTTAGTTTTAGAGGGAGACTAGACAGGTTTCCAGGGCAGTTAAAAGTCTAGAACAGTAGTGCGATTTCTCGATCTTGAGAAAAGAATCTGAAAAGATATTGATGCAAATAACATTGACTGTTATTTTAGCTTAGAAAATACTTCACTGATGCAATCTCAAGCTAATTTTATAACATCTTTCCACAAGAGGAAGGGTGGGGCAAAGTGATACACTTACCATCACGTAGTGATGTTAAGAACTAGCAAGCACCCCATGGCGATTACCTGACAGGATGATTGTAGCCTGGGCGAAGCAGCTACTCTTTACATCATCCTTTTAAACTGGGGAACTGTTTTTGTCCTTTCTCCAAATGTGCAGATCTGTTTTTGTCACACAGAGGTAAAGCATTTCCTTTGCTGTGGCTATGGCTAGAGTCAGGCCTTTAATCCTGGAGTTTCCTCCCTGTAGTAGAGGTCACTGAGGCAGTTTTTCATGAGTGTTCATTTACAAACCCGGCATCCTGGATAAGGCCTCATCTCTCTTCCTTTTTCCCACTCCCTGGGATTTGATACAAGAGCTTGGGCCATTACTTTGTGTCCTACTGTGAAAGATGCCATGACTAGACTCCAATCAAATTGATTATTATCATGTTTAAAAAAATCCAAATTCCAAGCTAAATTTCTCTCTTATAGGATCTTATGAAGAACCACTGAAGACCCCTGTCAGAGGCAGTTCTCAAACAAATAACTCTGCTGTCCATTTTTGCAAGGCATCTCACACACTTGAAAGAAACAGGAAGGAAAATGTTTCCTCTAATAGCCAGGTAGGCAAAGAGAAAAAACTGAAGATGATACATCTTGAAAACCTCAGATAACTGAGTTCCAGGTGTGAGGAGAGAGCTGCTTAGCTACCCTTACAAATCAGTAGGAAATGATGGATTCTTGACAAAGTAAAGCAAAATGGAGCAAAAACAAACCAAACAAAACACCAAGCAAGTAAACATGAATAGAAGTTCTTCAGAAAAGAAAAAACAATCTCCCAAATACATAAGAAAGGGTGGTAAGGACCAATTAAAAAGTGAAAAATGATAATAATAATTAAAGAAATAAAGATAAAAAAGGACAAAAAATTATACACACCATGATATGCTTCCTCTCAGCCAAGAGCTCTGTTTCAGCAGACCTCATTTCCAACTCCAATGGTGACTAGGTCTGCCCTTCAGGGCCTCTCAGATTAAATCCAATTCTTCCTCCAAAAGATGGTCTTTTGGATATTTTCCTTAAGTCTTTGTTGTTGTTTGTCTCTTGGTTAAGTTCATTTATTCCTTTAGGTATCTCTTATCATCATTTTAAGACCTTAGGAATATACTCTAAGTATTTTGGGCACATTATACCAATAGCATGTTTTCAGGTTTACTAAGTTTAATGAAGAGCATCTGAAGAAATCAATGTTTCATTTTAAAACCTTTTAACCAGGAAAGTCATAAGTTCTTAGTTTAGGCTATATTATCCTTTTAGTGTGTACCTCCATTTGGGTTGCTACATATAGTTTTCTAGAGAAACAATTAGATATTGTTAGGGTAAATTCAAATTATTGAACCCCCTACCCAATTGGAGACAAACGTATTGGAACAAGTCTTTTGTTAATGCCTTGTTGGGAGTGGATTTAGGGTTAGGGGATGACTAGGGAATTCTACTGAGATAACTAGGAGTGTAGTTGGCCTCATCCCTGGACATGGTTATTAACACACTGTCCTTTTCATCCCCTAATGCTGATTAGAGTTTTCACTGCCCTGACCCTGGGGACTTCCCCTTTCCCTCCCCTTGTCTTCTCTGGCAACTGGTAGCAGCAAGGTTGGTTGCTTTCTCTGTGGGATTACAAGATACCGCTCAGAGCAATTGTTACACAGATAGAACATTATCCAGGGATCACTGAATGACTCTGGAAGGGGGTGATGGAAAGTGTTTTATTACTTTATACAGAGTGCCTGCTGTCATGGCTAGACATCAAGCAGCACTGAAAGAGATGGGGATGGTTTTACATAAAGCGCTGTAATCTTCATTAGCCCTCACCAGTCATCTGCAGAGTATTTCCACAATGAGGGCTCAGAGAGCTGGGGAGACTTTCAGAATTCATATTCAGTGAGCTCTGTGCTGAAATGCTAATTAAAGCAATAAGTAGCTCTTGTCTAGAAAAAAACATCCCTGCATATGCAGAGTAAAGCATGTATTGGACAGTGCTTTGTTTAGCTTTGTGGGAATTCTGCAGGACTCTGAAGAAGAGAACCTGTAAAGAGTAAAACTGAACTGCTAATCAGCAGACCATTTTAAAAGTGTTATTTTATGCCAGTGGTTTTCAACCGAGGGTGATTTTTATATCCTAGGGCACATTTGGCAATGTCTGAAAGTGTTTTTGGTTGTCACCATCAGAAGGGAAGCTAGGAGGTAAATCCAGAGCTGCTGCGAAGCATTCCATACTGCACAGGACAGCTCTCCTGACAATGAATTATCTGTCCCCAAGTGTCAACAGAGCTCTTTATGTTGAAAACTTTGATCAGAAAACTTTGTTTTGTAGTTATTTTTTCTGTCTTAAATACATAATAATCATGATTCATTGACAGGCAGGCAATGTTTATAACAGGACCTAACATTGAGGGAGAAACCAAAATGCTGAAACAATGCTGTCAAAGAGACATCTCTGTGGAGGTACAATGATTGCCACATACAGAAAATTAAATACTGTATATTATTATGAATGAGAGAATGAAAAAGAACCCCTTCTGCCTTATACGTCAGTGCTTTTGGAAAATTCCAATAAGAACTTCCCCCACCTTATTACTAATTTTTCCAGCTGGTTTTGATCGAAATTGATGACAGACTTTCAGAAGTGCACTTTACTGGCCCAACTGAAATAGCTGCCACATGTCTGTGCATGTGGAAATTGAGCCATATTACTTGAGATTTTTGCCGCTTGATGCACTTGCTGTCCCTATTTCTAGTGGCATTGTCCATAGCCTGTGGTTGGTTATAGGCTAAATAGAATTTTAGGCTCGAAGAATAATAGGATTTTATTTTTTGTTTTTTTGGTACCAGGGTTCGAACATGGGACCTTGCATTTGTGAGGCAGGCGGCAGCACCCCTGAGCTAAATCCCTGGCCCAATAATAGGATTTTAGTTTAGCCAAGTAATACCTGCTGTATGGAATTGTTGAGGGGGTCATAAATAATATATACAAAATGTTTAGCACTGTTCATTACACGGTGATTATTCATAGCTATCATTGTGGTGTTGGCTTTGACATTGTGGAATTTTAAACTTTCTAGCAAATTTTCAGGTATAACTCTTTATCATGCATCACATTTGAGATGTACATATGTATTTCTAAAGAAGCATTCTGTTTATGTGTATTTATTTTCAGAACTGTCTAGACCAGTTATTTTCCACCCGGAAGGTGATCCAGCAAATTAATGGGAAAATGCAGCTTTGTGAGGACTTACAGTGTATTTGGGAAGGTATGGGACAAAGGATTTCTGTTTATCTTTCTTCCTACCCTCTTCTCTGTGCCTCCTTCATTTCTTCCTCACTTTAAAATATATACTATTTGTATTCTTAGACTAAATAAACATGATATTCAGATTTGGACAATTCTCATAATCCTCTGCCCTAACCAGCTCCACCTCCAAGTCCTATTTCCTAGAGGCAACCACTCTTAGCTCTTCCAGACCCTCCCCTGATATTATATCACTTCCCTATATAATATTGGTAAACTTCTATTTCTTAAAAGTTTGGATTTAGTCATGACTTACAAGTTTAGTAGATAAAAACTTAGTTTTCCTCCTGCTTCATTGTCTCTGCAGTCCCTGGACAGGCTTACAGCATACTTTAAAAAAGAAAAATTCAGATAACATTTACATAACATTACCATACAACTAACTGTATTTACCACTGAGCCAAGAAGTCACTGCAAGCGTTCTTTTCTAGCATAACTGTATAGTATAACATGCCCAAGAGACTGTTACTGTTTCCCCTAAATGTGCCAATGTTTTGTCCCACAGCTGATGATAACACTTTTCATGTGCTTGCTCTTCGGTTTCCTCTTTTCTTTGGTGACCTCCCTACAAGCCTGTGAACAGGCTGTTCTAGTTGTACAGTTGTCATTCTGGGACTTCCCTGATGTCAGAGCCACTATTTCTAAAAGCGTCTTTCGGGTTTTATACTTGATTCAAAATTTGGCCATTAATTCTAGTTCCACTCAGTATTTTGAAGATATTGAGTTATTGCATGAATTAATTTTGTGGATTTTTATATTTTATGGATTTTGACAAATATATAATGACACACACTCACCATTCCTGTATTATACAGAATAGTTTCACTGTCCTAAAAGTCCTCTGTGTTTTGCCTATTCATTTTTCCCTTTCCCTTGACAACCTTTTACTGTATTCACAGGTTTTCTTTTTCCATGATGTTGTAGAGTTGGAATCATTCAATATTTAACCTTTTCATACTGGCTTATTTCATTTAGTAATACACATTCAAGTTTCCCTCATGCTTTTCATGTTTTGAAAGTGCTTTTGTGTTCAGTGGTGAATAACAGTATGTGGTGTGATGAAAATACGAGGTGAATGTTTAAATTAAAACAATTATATAGTTGTAGGGGAAATGGGAATAATAGGGGAAAGGAAATAAGGGACAAGAAAAAATATGAGAAAAGGAAAAAATGGAAACAAAGTGTTTGCAAATAGGGGAGGGTAGAGGGGATGAAGGGAGGGCAAGGACAAGGGGAAAAAATGAGAACCAAGACCTGTCATGTAAAGGTACAAGATCCCAGTGATGAATGCAACTGCACTGTATACTTAAAACATACCAATAAACTCAATGAGATTAAAAAATTACATAGTAAATGACATATTGGTGTTAATCTCTCTGAGTACACCCCCTTGCATCACCCTGAAGAGTTCCAGAAGCCCTCTTTCATGACTGTCTTTATGAGGTGTGATTAAAAAATTACGGTGGCTACTGCTTCCAAAAGCCATCTGATGGAAATGCAGGCTCATAAAAACTTTACGATGTGTCTGTACCTACTTTATTCACCAGATATGGCACCATGTTGCTTCTGGCTCTTTCCAAAGTCAAAATGGCAATGAGAGGTCAACATTTTCAATCAATATAGGCCATGAGGCAGCAATGACAACACAACTAAAGACACTCATGAAGGAGGACTTCAGAACTGCTTCAGAAGTGGCAAGAATGTGGGATAGGCATTTTTTTAATTCGTTAATTTTATTGGTACATTTTAGGTATACAATATGTTGACATTAATCATTGGGAACTTGTACTTTAAATGATATAGCTTGGTTCTTATGTTTTCCCCATTCCCCTGCCTGCCTTTCAACGCCTCCACCCCTCTCCATTAATAAAGACGTTGTTTCTGTTTTTCCTTTTCTTGTACTTATTCATTTTCCTTCTTTCCTTTCCCCTACCCCTCCTACTTCCCCTTCTCCTTTGGACCTTTTCTTCCTATTTCAAATTGTCTATTATACATTTTGGTCCTTATTTACACTTTCAGTTTCTCACACCAGAGAAACTATTTGGTATTTACACGTGTTCTATTTATTTCACTTAAGAGTATGACCTCAATGTACATTCATTTAGCTATAAATGTTTCTAGTTTATCATTCTTCTTGGCTGAATAGTAGTCCATTTTATAAAAACAAACCCCCACATCTTCTTTACCCAGTCGGGCAACTGGGCCATTTTAAATGAGGGGACTCTTGAGGGGGATTAATGGCAATGTATCTTTTGCCATAATACACTTTTAAAAAATTGAGCATTTACTGTATTTTTCAATCACACCTTGTATATATCTGGTGGTACCAGATTTTATCCATTCACCTCCTGAAGGACATCTTGGTTTCTTCCAAGTTTTGGAATAAAAGCTGTTATGAATAAACCTATTATAAACACTAAACATGTTCCTTTTTCCCAGTACTAGAAATTGAACCCAGGGCCTTCTCAATGAGCTGCATTCTCAGTCCCTTTATTTTTTTGGTACTGGGGATTGAACTTGGGTCTTTGCGCTTGTGGAGCAGGAGGTGGAACCACTGAGCTAAATCCCTGGCCCTCAGTCCCTTTATTTTGAGGCCAAGTTCCCGAGAATGGGCTCAACATTGAGACCCTCCTGCCTCAGCCTTCTAGAGTGTTGGGATTATAGATATGTGCCACCATACCTGCTTGGCTCACATTTAGGATTTTTATGTAGACATCAGTTTTCAATTCATTTAACTAAAAAGCAAAGAGCAATAAAAAGCAAAGAGCACAATTGCTGGATTGTACGATAAAAGTGTATTCAGTTTTCCAAGGAAGTGCCAAGGTAGCTTCCAAAGTGCATTCCAGGAGCAATGAATGAATGTTTCTGTGCTCCACATCTTTGCAGTGTTTGTTGTCAGTGTTTTGGGTTTTGGCCGTTCTGATAGTATATAGTGTGATTTCATTTCAGCATGCAATTCCCTGATGACATGTTCTGTTGGGTATCTTTTCACATGCTTTGTGTGCCACCACTGTATCTTGAATTGTCCAGATCTGTTGCCCATTTTAAGATGTGGTTGTTCACTTTCTTATTGTCAAGTTTTAAGAGCTTAAATGTTTCTTTGTATATTTTGAAAAGCAGCCTTCTGTCAAAGATGTCTCTTGCAAATATTTTCCTCTGCTCTGTGGCTTGTCTTCTGCTTGATTTTATGGAGCAGAAGTTTTTAATTTTAGTGAAATTCAGCTTCTCAGTTATTTCTTTCATGGGTTGTGCCTTTGGTGTTGTATCTAAAACTTTACAGCAAAACCCCATTCTGTTCATGTAGGTTTTCTTCTGTGTTATTTTCTAGGAGATTTATATTTTATGCCTATGATCCATTTTGAGTTAATTTTTGTGACAAGGTAGAGTCTCTGTCTAGATTTTTTTTTAATGTGTGGATGTCTGGTTATGTCAGCACTGTTGTTGAAGAAATTATGTTTTGTCTACTGTGTGGACTTTGACCATTTGTCAGTAGTCAGTTGACCATGTTTGTGTGGGCCTATTTACAGGTTCTCTATTTGGTTCCATTGGTATATTTGTTTATTCTCTTGTCAACAGTGCAGCATCACGATTAGTGGAGCTTCGTAGTAAGTCTTGAAGTTGAATAGTGACAGTCTTTTATTTTAGTTCTTCTATTTCAATATTGGGCTGCTTATTTTGGGCCTGTGCATCTCAGCATAACCTTTATAATTAGTTTGTCAGTGTCCATAAAATGATTTGCTGCACTTTTGATTGGGAGTGTGTTGAATCTATATATCAAACTGATACTGTAATAATATTGGGCTTTTCTATCCTTGTACATGGAAATATCTGACCATGTATTTAGATCTCTTGATTTCTTTCTTAACAGTATTTCATCTTCTTCATACATATCTTATACATATTTTTGAGATTTTATACCCAAGTATTTTATATTTTGGGTACTATTATAAAAGGTGTTTTTGAATTTCTAATTTTAGTTGTTCTTTGCTGGTATAAAGAATGAAATTGAATTTTACATATTAACCTTATATATCTTCCAACCTTAGTTAATTCTAGGAGGGTTTTTTGATTCCTTGGGTATTGACTTAAAAAAAACTTTCACAGTACTTTATTAGCAGGCCTGAATATTTCTACTAAGCTTTTAGTTCTTTCCACAACCACAGGTGTTCATTGCTAACACTGAGGCAGGAAATTATGAGTAATGATTTGGTTTCTTAGTATAATATGGTACGACACTCTCATGCTTTTATCGAAACCATTTGGTCACAGAGACCACTGTCACCTAAATTGTCTTGTTTCTCGATGACTCTGATCATTATCAGTTTGATCATAAACTAAGTGGGTTGGAGATGAAAAGACAGTGGCCTGTGGTTTGGACTTAGTGGAGGCTTTTGGTGATATGATTCTGATCTCAGGTAGTCATGAGTAAAAAGCTAGAATTAATGAACCAAGTATTTATTGACAAGGACTCAGAATAAGCCTCAAGTGTAGTATGTGTGAGTACATATGTAAAACTCACTTTGATTTTAAAATCTCAAATGACTGAATAAATATTCAAAGATAATGTAATAGCTCTGTGTTCCCTACAAGGCCTGTCATCTATATTTAGGTCTACCACTCATGTAATTTAATTTAAAAACTGCCACTGGATAATTTTTGATATTGTTGTTTAAAACTGAAGTCCTCTTTATTTCCTTTCCTTCCCTATTGTTTGTACTAGTCTTATAATGACTACTTTCTTTTCTTGGTCTGTGATCTTGTAGTACTCATAAGGATAAATATTATATTTTCTGAATCAGAGAGATATGTAGAACTGTTTCTCGTAGGCTGCACAGATGGAGTCAGAAACAAAGCCTTCCACCTTAAAAAGTTCAGAGATGTGAACTATCCCATACGCCAACCAGAGGTGAAGATTCATCTTACTGGCCTTCGAAATGACTACTGTAAGTTATTTTGAATTGAGAAGTTGAAATGACAAATTGCATCCATTGTTCTGTCCTAAACTTGGTTTGATTCTGTTAGAACCAAATAGCCCTGTGTCTCATGTCCAGAGGTTGTGCCATGAAACAAAGTTAATGTAGTTGGCTTTTCCTTGTGCGAATTTCACATTCAGGGGTGGGTATTGTTAGCGATGGGGCACGAGAATTGATACTTATAAAAACATTTTTGTTTTACTTTATTAGAATGAACTGTAGTAACGGGGGGTCATTCTCACCATCTTTTAAACATGAGTAAATCTAATCAATTAAACAACTACAGTACAACGAGTCTGCTCGCTATGTGCCTACCTTGTAATCCATGTAGTTAGGGCAACAGCACCAACTCTCGTGAAACTGATCCCAAGATGCCAATGTAGAACCTAAATAATGAGTTATGGGGTATCATAAGCTGTAAGGAATATAAGAAACTCAGTGAGCTCTGGAATTGTCCACAAAGACTTTGTTAAGATATTCAAACTTTAGCTGGGTCTTCACAGATGAGTAGCGTTTATAAAAGTGTAGAAGGAGAATAGAGGGCAGTTTTGGCTCTGTTAGCAGCAGGAGCAAAGGCAGGGTATTGGTAATTAATGATAATTCATGACAATGAGAAGATACATCGGGGACTAGTGTATAGATAGTGAATGCAGATAATAGAGAAACTCAGGCGTAGAAACTGAGTTTTGTATTGAGAGTTAATGACCTAAGCGATATATCAAAGGAAAATTCATAGCAAATTATGCAGAATGCAGTCAGTAGGCAGTAACTACCAAAGATTAAGCGCCTGTTTATTTTTCATGAGTAAAACTATGTGGCAAGAAGGATTAATATAAGATTATTACACGTTTTTGAGGCAGAAGAAAGAAAGCGGGTATCACTGGGAAGATGATTGGTGGGGAAGTGGTTTGGAGAGGGAAGACTGTTCTTGGAATATTATGTTAGAGGAAGCTATCAGACATGAAGATGTTCAGAAGATCATTAGAATGAAGCTGGCAGTTAAAAGATAGGATGAACCAGAGTGTAGGCTGGGTGATTACGGTTAAAGGCAAGGGCCAACCTATGTGACTCTCTGGGTGAGGGAGAGAGGAGCCAAAGGAAAGGAAACATCTATAGAAAGGAATGAGCAAATGAAGCAAAATTAGTAAAGGGAATAATTCTCTATCTTCTATTCTTTTTATTTTTATTATTATTATTTTTTGAGACAGGGTCTCACTGTGTAGTTCAGCCTGGCCCTGAATTTTCCCTGTAGCCCAGGTTGACCTTGAACTTATGGTGACCCTCCTGCCTCAGCCTCCCAAGTACTGGGATTCCAGGAGTGTGCCACTACACCTGGTTACCTTCCTACTCTTCAAGCTCCTTTTCTAAGAGCATTTATTGTCACACTCAACTAAGGTGGATAGATTTCAAGAAACCCCCCACATTTAGAATTTTTTAAATTAAGAAAACCCCATAACACCCACATTAAAAAGAAACAACTTGTGTTCCTACTTTTCTTTCAAGTCATAGATCCCCTTTTCCCTTCCCTTGATAGCAAAGCATGTCAGGAATTTTTATACTCACAACTTCCTATTTTTCTCCCCACATTGCCTTATTTATTTATTATTTTTTGAGACAGCATCTTGGAGTACACTCCAGGCTGGCCCTGAAATCACTATGTAGCCCAGGCTGGCCTCACACTTGTGGTGATCCTCATGCCTCAGCTTCCTGAGTGCTTGGCCGCCACACCTGGCCTTCCCCGCACTGTCTTGAGCCCACTGCAGTCAGGTTATCTCACTGTTCCTTTGAAACTGCTAATCCAAACATCACCGAGGAACCTCTCATTATTAAATCCATCTGTCACTTCTTAGATTTCATTCACCTAACTCTGTCTTCCACATTTGAGAAAGCTGACCAGTTTCTCCTTTGATATATCATTCTCTTGTTTTTTTTTAATTGACATGTAAAGCGCCTAGTTTTATATTCACTTTTTTTTTTCTGATCTTTTTTGTTGGTGTGCCTAATGCTTATTTTTTGGACATTTTTTCTACTTCAATTTTAACTGATTAATTGCTTTTGGCTGTGTTCTGTATTGTGTTTTTAGTTGTTGCTCTAGGTATTACAATGTAATTTAAATTTTTCTCAAGTGTACTTAGTTACTGTTGTGCTTTTTACACAAGACATATAAAAATATTGTAGTCGCATAGTTCTCCCCAGTGTCATGACTTTCTTAGTTTATTATAGTTACGTGTTTTGCCCCAATCCCCCCATTGTTATAACCTTTACTTTAAAAAGTAATATTTAAAAAGCATTTTAAATTTCTCAGGAGGAAAAGGATGGTCCATTATATTAACCCAATTATTTACCAGCTTTAGTATTCTCTTTCCTATTGACGGCCCCAATGTCTCCTTGTTAGTATAGTGCTTAACATTCCCACCTGTCATATTGATGGTCCCAGTTTCTCTCTTACATAATTTCCCATTAGCCTGAAGAGCTTCCTTTACCATTTCTTGCTGTCAGGATTATTGGCCAAGACTTTGCTTCAATTATTCATCTATGTTGTGATGTTTTTACTGGTCATGAATTTAGGGTTGGAAGACTTTCCTTCCCTACGTTTTACAGCTGTTGTTCCACTGACTTCTAATCTCTGATGAGAACTCTGTGGTCACATAAAACCTTGTTCTTCATGCTTTCAGGAGTTGTTTTCAATTAGACTTACGTTAGCTCTGGATATTATTCTACATGGACCTGGAGGCTATATTCCTTTTTTTTTTTTTTCTGGTACTGGGGACCAAACTCAAGATCTTGCACTTGCAAGGCAGGTAGGGTGCCACTGAGCTAAAACTCTGTTCCTTTTTTTTTTTGTGTGTGTACTGGGGATCAAACTTGGGACCTGTGCTTGTAAGGCAGATGTGGTGTCACTGAGCTAAATCCCAGGCATATTCATCTTTAAAAACCCTTTTCTCTATGTTTTGATCCAACAATTTTTGTTGATCTGCACACCTGTTCACTGACTCTTTTGTCTATCATTTGCATTTTGCTATTGAGAATTTTTCAGATGTTCTATTTTCTGTTTTAAAATTTTCATTTTATGATTTTTATGACTTCTATTTCTGTTTTAAAATTTTGTTTTACAGTTTCCATTTTCTGTATATGGAACATTTATTTTCATAGTTTTCTTCTGGGGTTTCTGTCTTTTTATTAATTTAAGCATGTTTTTCCTTGTCTCATGGAGAATTAATAGCTGCCTTAATATCTTTGATAATTCTCATATCTAGGTAATCTCAGAGTTATAATCTATTAATTATATTTTCCCATTACATATGCCCACTAATTTTGTCACAAAGAGTTTTGGTTTCTTTTGCCACCAGGGATCAAACTCAGGACCTTGCTCTTGCCAGGCAGGTGGCAGCACCACTAAGCTAAATCCTCGGCGCTATGTCCACTAATTTTGAATGTGTCCTGGAAATTATATATGCTATGTTATATTCACTCTGGATCCTATGGAGAATGTTGATATTTTTGCCCTAGTTGGGCTCACACCTTAATTTTGGCTTGCCATCAGTGAGTTGTATTTTAAATCTTCAATCAATTTCTTTTTTTTTTACTACAATAAATATGTAATTATGGAGGTTCAATAAACCCTAAGAACAGAAAAATCAATTTAATCGATCAATTTCTTAAGCTTAGACTGTTCTGGTTTGGGTCTGACTCTCCTATGCGTGGACCTGAGTCAAGGCTGAGAGCTGTGTAATGTTTCAAATCTCAGTTCATTTCTCAAAGCTTTTCCTAGACTCTACTTTGATCTTCCCCTGCACTTAAATGGTTGGAGCGATAGGCCAAAACATGTGTGAGCTTGTATACTCATGGTTAGAGGACACCTCTCTCTGGATCTCTTCCCTCACAGTCTAGCCACCCCAGCCCCCTGTCCATGGTTCTTCTGACTAGGAAGATGGTTTTCTTTCTACTTCAGTCTTGGAGGCAGGTGCCTCTCAATGACTGGCACCTGCCTTCAGGGCAAAGTCAGGAGAAAAAAAGTAGAAAAGTCATTCCTGGACAGATTGCTTCTCCATGTTTTGACGCCCTGATTTAGTTTACCCCTTTTACTTGTGTTCCAGGGTCTTCGGGTGTTTGCTTTTATATTTTGTTCAAAGTTTGTTATTGTTATTAGTGAGAGGGACGCATTATAGGGGTTTAAGTCACTATGGTAGAACTGGTGTGTGTCTTAGCTTTGTACTGGTGTGTGTCAGTTGGAACAATAGTTTCTATCATAAATCAGATAGGGTAAATTTTAATAAATGGTCACACAAGCATGATTTCTCTTAGCAGCCAGAGTTGTTCTTATTATGACAAAGTAGAGTAAGTTATTAACTTCCAGGTAACAAACGAGACACCATTCTTTCTAGATTTATTGGTAGTGTTTTTGGTTACAAATGATGGTGGAATTTTGCATATAGATAAGCTAGGTCCAAAGATGTTTCCATAATAATTATGTACTTTTACTTTCAATCATCTGTTAGATGAAGTCCATGTATCCTAATAATGGTAGATGAATCCACCATGTTTTAAAAATGCCTCTAAATAAGTGCATTTTGAGCATAAATGGTAAACATTATTGCTTATTAGACTGCAAGTCTACAACCAGATTCTATTCCAGTTTTGAGTTTTGAACTTCTAATGATCTGCTTGATGATTCTATTTTCCAGCTGACCTTGGCAAGAGATTGACGTTTTCCCCATATGTATGAATAAGTTGTTTATTGAAAAAGTTTTTGTATGGCTGTATAATTATCCTAATTTGATGTGCTTTTCTTATAGATCTGAATATTCTAGACTGGAGTTTTCAAAATCTTGTTGCTGTAGCACTTGGATCTGTTGCATACATCTGGAATGGAGAAAACCACACGGTTGAAAGCATAGACTTAAGTCCTACTTGTAATTATGTATCTTCTGTGTCCTGGATAAAAAAGGGAACGTGCTTGGCAGTTGGCACCAGTGAGGGAGAAGTGCAAGTACTGACATTTTATTTTCTCAGAATGTTTCCTGTGTAGTCACTAGATAACTGAGATTGATTTTTAATAATATATTAATATACAATCGAGAGAAACTCTATTAGATGTGTCATCAAAGCTATGGGAAGTCAGGAGAGATACCATTCTGCTCCCTCTATGGTATTTTATGAAGAGTTAAGGATACAGTACTCCAGTTTTTCACCACAATCTTAGTTTTTCACAATAATTTCATTTGTTGTTGTCTAAAAAAATCTTTTCTCTCCAACTAATGTTGAGTTTGTAGACACCCTAGTTTTGGAACTTTTGAGAGAGGAAGGTATCCTCTTGGTCCTTCCACCTTGAAGCTGTGATTAGGAGCAAAGCTATAGAAATGGGGAAATCGATCTTTTGCAAAAGGGAAGGGAAGAAAGAAATGGAGGGAGGGGTGAAGGAAGGGAGAGAGAGGGAATGAAAAAAGATTTAAGAGGTGTTACATCCGGTTACCAACTCCCCATGAAGAATGAAATCGTCATATATTACAAATAGGTACAGTACTAGTAAAAAAATAAAAATGGAGAAAAGATAAAAACAGTAGTAGAGCTGCACAAAATGAGTGGATTTCTTTTTGATAGTCTCTCTGAGGTGAGGGTTTATCAAGTTTGTATCAGTGTATCTAGTTTCTCATGTGTCATTGCTATTATCATTTATTAGACAATACTGCCATGTACCAGATGATGTAGGAGGGCCCTAGATCATTCTCACTGCTTTCTTATCTCTGCCAAGAACATTTAATGCTGTGAAAGGCATGTCATGATTTCTTTTTATACCAAACTTCTTGTTTCTAACATAGGTCAGAATATAATCTCTAGATGGTAGGAATGGGATCTCTTGGCAGTAAATTGAATTTCTGACTCTTGGAAATGTTCGGGTACTTAAGTTTTATTCATGTAGATCAATACAAAAGTTTTAGATATTGGGGTATTTTGGATTGTGAATGTGCAACTGGTAAAATTTTGCATTGTGAATGTGCAAAATCTGAAAAACTCCAAATCTGAAACACTTCTGGTCCTGGCATTTCAGATAAGAAATACTCAACCTGTGTGTTTGTTGGTAGCTTTTAAGTGAGTTTCCAAGCTTGAAATTCTCATAGTTTATAAGGATCTAGAAGTTTAATAATGATTCTTAGTCCTTGGTTGTATATTGAATCCATCTGGGAAACTTTAAAATAAACACCTCATTCCTGGCTCTACTGCACCAATTCAATCAGAACTGCTAGCATCCATAGTGTTTCCTAAACTCTCGCAGGTGATCCTAATATATGGTCAGACTTGAGAACTGTTGGTTAAAGGTTCTGAGTTTTCACTTAGCTGATAATGGATTGGCTACATTAAAAGTAATCAGCTGTCAGACCTTTGAGAGGACAGTAGATTATGAAAATGCCAATACTACATAACCGTGCTTATTCATTTTTTCAGTTGTGGGACGTGGTAACTAAAAAGCGGCTGAGAAATATGCAGGGTCACTTGTCAGTAGTTGGGGCACTGAGCTGGAATCACTGTATCCTTAGCAGGTAAGAAACATTGAGCCAGTTGTGTTTGTGTCATCAGTTGATTATGGGGACTGAGTGAGCAGAACTATAATATTTAAAAACGTTAGCAAAATGAAACAAAATAGGACAGTAGGGTTTTTATTAGGTATGATACCTCCCTCTAAGGTATGCAGGTTTTCTGGGGATGGTATATGTCCTAGTGGCCACATATATCATGACCGCTATGGGTCTTCTACATGAGAGTCTAAATTCTTCAGATAAAATGCAAAATTCCCTCAAACAGAAGGTTTTTCTGTACAAGGTAATATCTGATAAAGCGATATTTTGTGGAAACAAAATGTGTATTGCTATTGGTATCAATGCTAAAGAATATGGTAAGCTTTCTGGGCCAATTTACCAATTTACAGATTTACCAGAGTCAGAAGTGGAAGAATCCTCATAGATTATCCCATTTAATGGTTCTCAAAAGTCTATCAGAATCCCCTGAAGGCCACTTAAAACACATCACTAGCCTTACTCCAGGATTTCCTGATCTTCTAGGTCTTAGGGAGGCTGATACAGTAATTTGCATTTCTAATTTCCCAAGTGATACTAATGATGTATCACTTTGAGAATTACTGGTGCAATTTTACTGCTTTTTAACCAGAAAAGCTAAATAACTTATTACTATGATCCTACATAATTTATTTATTATTATTTTTTTCAGCTTTAATTGAGTTTATTGGTACATTTTAGGGATACAGTACAGTTACATTCATTGTTGGGATCTTGTACCTCTACATGACAAGTCTTGATTCTCATTTTTTCTCCTTACCTCTGCCCTCCCTTCACCCCCTCCTCCCCTTCCCAACTACAAACTCTTTATTTCCATCTTTTCATTCTCTCACATTTCTTTCTTTTCCCTTATTACCCTTCCCCTACCCATCCCACCTTCCCTACACCTTTAGCTCCTTTCTTCCCATTTCTAAATGTCAGTAATCTTATTAGGATCTTATGTATTATTGCAGATTATTCACACCAGGGAAACTATTCGGTATTTACACATGTGTGACTTATTTATTTCACTTAGGAGTATATCTTCAGTATCTATCCATTTTCCTATGAATGAATCTATTTTCTCGTTCTTTATGGCTGAGTAATATTCCATTGTATCTACATAATTTATTTAAATACTCATTGCTTTTATAACAGTCATTCATATCTGTATTGTTTCCTAAGATAGATTTCAGTTAGATAAATCCTAAAGTCTTTTATAATTTCTTTAAGTAGCTCAGATATAATTTGGGAATTTTAATACTTGTGGTTATAGGACAAACTTAACCACTTAGTTGTTTTAGTCAGGTCGTTTCTATACCCAACTTCTTTTTCCAGTCTGCACTGTTAAAGATTAGTTTCATTATCCATGAAGAACATGAGCAAATCCTTTCTTATCATAATATTAGCTATTTTGGAATGTTCTGTGCTATATTTTTATGTGCACAATCTTTATTTATTTATTTATTTATTTTGTATCGGGGATTGAACTTGGATCCTTGTGCTTGTGAGGCAGGCAGTGGAACCACTGAGCTAAATCCCCAGCCCATGCACAATCTTTTAAAATCCCTGCAATAATGCTATAATGTGGTTTGTCTTCATTTTTTTTTTTCACATGAATAAACTGAGACACTAGATGGCAATCATGTGGTTAGTAAGGGACAGAGTAAGGATTTGAACCCAGGTAGTCTGGTTCTAGAACCCATATTGTTAGAGTGCTATTCAGTATTGTACATAGTCTAAAAATGAAACTACACTTCAAGAAATTTTATAAATTTTTATAGAAAGTTATTCCTTAGAGAACATCAAATTATTCCCCAAAGAGTTAATTATCTTTGAAGAAGTGGTAGGATTTTAAAATCATTTTTTGGATTTAAATCACAGTAAATAGAAACCTTATCCACAGATTTTTTTGAATCCTATTGCAGTTTTCTGTGACAGTTTCAAATTCCTTTTACATATTAGTAACACTGGCAAAACTAAGAATCTATAATTTAACAGGAACATACCTGATAGAAAAAGAAATAATAAATTTCTATGTGTAATATTTACTAAAAATATACACTAAAACCATTTCATTGAGATAAAATGAAACATTCCAGAGAAAGCAATGTTTTCTAGGTTCAGTACATATATCACTACCTGAGACAATTCAGCAGTCTTCTAAATTTATCTTTTCCATGGCTATCTATATAGTGTTAAGGTCATTAGAGACATCTATCAAAGGATACATTTCAATTCCACATTTGCTTATGAAATGAGGCGCCAAGGTAGAATACTCCATTCTTCTTAGCCCAAGAAGTTCCTACCTGTAGGTGGGTCTTTCAGTAGTTTTCCTTTGGACTGTTCTGTCCTCCATGTTGTCAATGCCCGTGTAGCTGCTGTAGGGCTTTCTATTTTTTGTCATGTAAACCTTCTCTTTACTTTCATGTAGCGGGTCAAGACTGGGCCGTGTTTATCATCATGATGTTCGTGCAGCCCAGCATCAAGTTGGAACACTTTGCCACAAGCAAGCTGTGTGTGCTTTGAAGTGGTCGCCAGACGGCAGGCTGCTCTCCAGTGGCTGCAGTGATGGACTGCTGACAATATGGCCCCAGGATCCAGGTGCCCATGCACAGGGCCAGTCACTGAGAGTTGTATCTCAATCGACAGCTGTCAAGGTGAGAAATCCGATAGCTTTCCAGGTTTCCTTTTCTCAGAGATCACTGTAGATCCTTTATATATAAAAATAAAACTATTAAATAAATATTTTGAGATTTTTCTTTCTTAGTAATTTGTTTCAGATTTTACCATCAGTCTTCTGAAAGACAATGCTATTTGTACTTTTCATATATCAGATATTTTTGTTTTGTTGGCATTGGCTGAGTAGCTCTGTTATTTAAAAAAATATTTACAGCACATTGGGAATCAAATTAGGTCCAAATTCTTATTATTAATGACTTAAAATGGTGGAAAATGTACACAATATATTCTGTCTGCAAATAATATACAAAACAAAGTAAAGCAAAACAACAAATGGATGAAAAACCTAAACTAGGCAAAAGCAAGGTATATTCTTAGATGCTTTACTATTGTTTTTATTTTCTTCAATTTTGATTTTTATTGGTACATTTCAGAGTGGGGAGTTGGTACATGTGCTTAATACATCTTAATACTTAGAAAAATCCTTCCTTTCTCCTCCTTCTCTCTCCATCTCTTGATCCCTCTCCCATTTGTGAAAAATATATCTCCTTATTTGCTATTATATATATTTTACAGTTGCATTGTGGTTCACAAACTTAATTCTTTTAGTGATTCTGGTCACAAACTGAATTGGGCAAGAACCAAATCAAATTTCTCCACAGGTCAACATTGAACCTAACCATTGACTTTGATTTGGTTCTGCTTTTGCACAATTAATGTGATCTTTACTGTTGTATGCATGCTAATAATTTGTCAAACCTTGGCTGGGGCACACATGTTGAGAGAGAGCTCTCCGTGTCCGTGGCAAGTGGCCATAGACTTGCCACCACTTTTAAACACTAACACAAACCAAATATTAACATATAGCAAATTCCACCTAGTGCAACTATACCTCTACTAAGAATAGAACCGTATTCAGCAGAAATAGAATAGAATTCACTATCTAAAGATTAATAAAGCTTAGTGGTTATAGTAGTAAAGACAGAGGGGATAAAAGAATGGCAGAATTGAGCAGAATTTGAAAAATCAGCCAGAAGATGAGAAGGGAGAGAGAAAGTGAGACAGAGGATTCTATTGAGGAGTAAATGGAAATTAATAATATAAAATGAATGTAACAGAAAAGAACAAACCACAAAAACAAGAAGAAAGTAAAAACAGAAAGCAAAATGAAGAAAAGAAAGAAAAATAAGAAAAAAGGTAAAAGGAGAGAAGACAAAAATAAAAGAATGAGATAAAAGCCTCAACCCCCCAAAAAAACTATCGAAGAAAAATGAGAGGAAAAAATAGACCAAAAAAATTCCTCTGTATTTTTGGAGTTGTTTCTTTCCAGGATCTTCACTTTTGGAATCCAGCAAGTCACGATTTTCTTTGCCAAAATTTAAGGCCTGTGAATTTGGTATCTGTTCCCCCTGCTCCGGGGGCCCCACTGTCCTGCCTGTATGTGACAGACTGTAGCAACCATCCATCCTGACCTTGCTTATGTTGGTAGACAGGAAAAGCATTCAGACCACTGGTCTCTGCTGAATGTAGGTCACAGAGGGGGGGCTTCAAGCAGACTGTTGGATTTAATGCCAGCATTGACTTACAAATGCAACCCCTTCTATAAGTCACACTCATCAGGCCTGTGTTCTCACTGTGGGAGGCAGAGCTTGTGTCTTTCCCAGCCTGAGCTTTACCTTCTTAGAGGGTCTATGTCTAACGTGTATCCAATTCATGGCTGTCTCCTATGACTATCTTATATCCAGTCTTGTGGGAAGGTAACACTGGAGACTCTGAAGTGAAATTATTTGGTAGTTGTTCTGTGGCTCGGTCTTAAACAATTAATCCATTCCCCAAAGAGCACCTGATTAAACAGTCTCTGGAAAATGGCAAGCACTCCGCTGGGTTTCTCCTCCAATTCAAGCCTGCTGTGAAGGAGTCACTTTCAGAGTAAAACTCTTTGCTTGTTTTGTAGTTTACAATAGCTGTGGGCTATTCTTGGGGCTAGTGCTGCTGGCCAGGTTCATATTTTCCTTGGATCGCCTTGGATCTGCTGGCCCACCAAGCTTACCTTCTCTCCCTGGGCATTGGCCTCATCCATGATCATACTGGTCAGTTTGTGCCTCTACTTCCCCATGCTGAAGTGAGACAAAATGCAGAGCCAACATGGAGTTGGCAGCTGGAGGGGCCAGGGCATCGGTGTGAAGTTCGTTGGGGACCAATTCATGGCTCCATTATCCACGAGGTGTGGCTCTGTTGTCCAGATACTTGTTGCTTGTTGTTGAAAACAGTAAATTGACCTACTAAATGAAAGTCCTCTTTACTAAGAGTCTCTGGAAATCGGAGCAAGCCAAGCCTCCAGAAAGCTAAATATGTGGGGAATCACAAGAACTGACACTATGTACATCTCTTCACATTCACCATTAACTAGCAAATTCATGTAACTAAAGTAGACTTCAGAGTCTCACATCTGTGTCTTTTCGTGTAGCTTTTAGTTTTGCCCAAACTGCTTGTGTCTAGTAAGAGCTAGTTGGAAATAGGGTATTTAAGAAGCTGATTATTAATAAATATAACAGAGTCTAATATGCATCATGTAAAAAATTGAGGTTCATGGACTCCTGGGAATTTCTAAGCCTTGTGAAACTGAATGTAAGATTTTATGTTTCGCAAAATAGCCTTCTTTCCAACCGAGTCAAGGCTGTGGGTGAATGGTTACTTGAAAAAGATAATTAAAGCAGGTAACTATGAAGTATAATTAGACTGAAAACATATTTACCATATTTCTTAGCCAACTGTTTTACTTTGCATGTAGTTTGGCTAATTAGAGATCTTTGTCTTTCTGCTATAAATTATAACCATATTTAATTGTTAAAGGTTCCATTTATGATATCTGTGCTAATTATCTATTGCTATAATAGATTACTCCAAAACTCAGTAGCTTAAAACAAAATCATATTTTAATTTTTTGTGGATTCTTTGGGTCAGGACTTGGGAAAGGCCTGTCTGAATAGTTCTGGCCCAAGGTTTCTCATGAGGTTGCAGTCAGTGATGGAAGTTGAAAGGGCAGATGTTGAACCTCTTGTTGACCAGCCAGTCATTCTTCCCTCTTCCTGTAATTTCAGAGCTTCTCCACATTGCTTGAACTTGGTTGGTTGTTTTTACGACATGGCTTCCTTAAACCTTTGAGCATCTGGGCAATTGGCCCACAGAGCAAGGTGAAGTGGCCCTTAATGACCTACCTCAGAATTTACAGAGTGCCACTTTTACCACGTTCTGTTGATTACAAACTAGTTATAAGTCCCCCCAGATTCAAAAGGAGAGGAATTACATTCTACTTCTTGGTGGAGGAAATGGGCAAAGTCCTAGAGTATGGTTGGATGGTGGATAGTGTTGCAGCTCTTTGGAAAATACAGTTTGTTACAATCTTTAAAGCAGAGCAAGAACCTAAACCTACTCACGAAGAGATCAAAGCACAAACTCCATATGAAGGTTATTATAATTTTCCTCACTTTTAATAACTAGTCAGAAAGAAATTATTATACTCATTTGATGCTAAGTGTTATAAAAACATATAACTGTTAGGAAATTGTTAGTCCCACACTTTTGAACCTTGGAATTTACCTAAAAAATTGGCCAGAAACAAAAGACATATGGAATATGTTACTTAAAAAACAACAACAACAAATGAAATGCATAAAACAAAAAAGTCCAAAAACAACAAAACCAACCAAAACCACCTAACTGTATACAAACCATACCCAAACAACAACAACAACAACAATAAATACCACCCCCAAACCAACCTAGATCCAGCATTAGAATAAAATTAATTCACATAACACAGCATGATGGATTATAAATGATAATTATAAAAAGTATGTTAAATCATGGAAGACTTTATATAATGAACAACAGAAAGATAAAATAATGTAAACCCAATGTGTTTGCTGCTTCTTGAAGTATTTATTACATACAGAATCAAATACACAAAAATGAGCTTAGTTATTGAGATGATTGATAAGTATAGATAAATATAACTGAAATATTTGTTAAAAGATTATGTAAAGTTACTTATTCAGTTTTAAATAAAAATGTGAAATACTAAATTCTATTTTTGGAATTAACTATCATCATTTATAAATCAGTTTTATTTTCTAAAATATATAAGAATTTAAACTACATGAGATTTTGAATTGTGAGTAATTGCTTGTAGCACTCTTTACTCTGACCACTAGCTTGGAACACATGAACACAGGTGGATGAACCAGAGAAAGGTGCATTTCAGAACCAAATTCTAAGGGCAAACATGAACTATTCCAGAAGCAGAGTATTGCTCTGGAGGATGCAGTGCATGTCATTTTCAACTGTTTTGTTTGTTGGGTAATTTTTTTATATTAAAAATATCTGAAGTTATAAGTTACACATGTGTAAATACTGAATAGTTTCTCTGGTGTGAAAAACTATAATAGTACATAAGATCCTAATGAGATAATTGACAGTGTGAAATAGGAAGAAAAGGGCTAAAGGTGTAGGGAAAATGGGAAGGGTAGGGGAAAGCTAATAAGAGAAAAGAGAAAAATAGGAGAAAATGAAAAAATGGAAATAAAGTGTTTGTAAATGGGGAGGGTGACAGGGGGTGAAGGGAGGGCAGGGACAAGGGAAAAAAAATGAGAACCAAGACCTGTCATGTAAGGGTACAAGATCCCAATAATGAATGTAGCTGTACTGTATACCTAAAATGTACCAATAAACTCAATTAAAAATATCTGAAGTTATAGCAAAACTTGAGGAAGTATCTTTATTAGGTAGATGCTCTCCTTGCTACAATGGCTCCTACACCCTGGGAAGTAATCACTGCAGTTGCTCTTTGGCCAGGAGACCTAGGAGAGCTCCCAGGGCAGGGCTCTTCTGAGACTTCTGTTTACTGGAGTGTATCACATTCGTGAGCCTACCTTCTCCGAGGCTGACCTGTCTATGCTATTATTTGAAATTTTCAAGGCTATAGACTGGTGTCCCTGGCAGTCTGAGGTCCTTGCTATTGGAGGAGGAATGAAGGATGGATGCCTACATATTTTGGATATAAATAGTGGGAAAAGCATTCAGACTCCGAGCACAAATTCACAGGTAAACATATCCTCTGGAGCCTACCTTTATCCTGGTCTTCTAGAATCTTATGAAAATAATTATGATAGAATATATTACCCAAACATGCTTTTCCTTATCTCTACTGATTCCATAAAGAATTTCTGTTCTTAGAGTTTTTTTTTTGGTAAAAATCTCTTAATCTGTGAGTCCCAGATTAATTAAATTCTTTTTTCTCTGTCTTCATTTATCCTATCTTTTTTTCTCTTCTCTTTCTTTATTTTTCTTCTGCATTTTCTTCCTTCTCACTACTGCTTTGACTGCAAAACCCAAGAGTAGTGTAGCTATTCCTGGCCCATGATCATAGTTCACTTAAATTTGTTCATTGTACTTATATCTATTTGTATACTTGTTCCTTTGTTGCCATGGGATAAATGTTATTAGAACTAATATACTTCTTCTAATACCTTCATTTTAGCTGTGCGTGGAAGATGAGTAGTGGACAGTGTACTGTCTAGAATCAGTTTACATATATTCATAATGAATTAGAAATCGCTAAAATTCTATATTTTATGATCATTATTACAGATTTGTTCCCTAATCTGGTTACCTAAGACAATGGCGATTGCAACAGGCCAAGGTGCTCCTAAGAATGATGTGACTCTGTGGACCTGTCCCACTCTGTCCAGGTCTAGTGGGTTTCTGGGTAAGTGGGGGAATAAAATGCTATGTTCCTATAGTAAAGTGAGCTGTCATTCGTGGAAAAGTCCCAAAGTGAAAGAATTTTCTTCTGCTGTCTACACCCACCCCACCTCAGGGAGTATCTAGATGTGTGTTTTGAATGTGACTAGAATTGTGTATCACTTAAAATCGTCAAATCTTCTGTGATCTTGTGCAGTTTTTGAACTCCACATTTAGCATCACAATTCATCTTATTTTTAAAGAAATCCAGCAGCATGGAGGACAAGGAGACAGGTTAGACATTGTTATATGAGGGAAGGTCACTAAAAATCATGAGGCTTCCTCTGTGAACATCTGTCCTTTGAAAGCAGACTGATACTCCGTGTTTTGGTGCTTTGATTGAACTCAGGGCCTTGTGCTTGCTAAACCTGTGTTCTACCACTGACCCTGGATTACTATTCTCTCTCAGTTTAGTTTTACAAGCTTGTTGCAATTCTTCTCGAAAGTAAGGCCCATGATGGTGAAGGAGAACTGAGCTCTTACCTCAGGATGTTAAATTTGAAGTGGTTGTTAATGGTTTACATGAAATGGAAAAAATGGATAAGTAGTTTTTACTTTGTGAGACTTTTGTTATTTATAGGTGGGATGTATACGTGCCTTGCTACAGGGCTACAACATAAAATATGCTTTTGACTTGTGGGCTGTGGTCAGAAAGTTTGGGAAGAAGATATTCTAGATTATAATCATATCTTTACCAAGCCTCACCCTGTTAACCACAGTTATGGAGTAGGTAACTTTGTAGCTTCCGGGTGAGACCTAGCCTTTGAGTTTGCTTTATCAGTCCTCAGCAAAGGTGTCAGTTTGTGGCCTCACTTAGGATGGCAGGAGTATGAAGAACACACAGCTTTCATTGCCTTCAGTGTTCTTGGAACTGGGGAATTTTAAGGCCCAAAGGAGACCTTTGTCTGAGACAAAGATGATGTTTCCTACTATCTAGCAAGTTAAGATTGCCACTGATGTAAGAGAAGAACATTAAGAAAGTCTTTGCTTCTAATCAAAATGCCATTTACTCAATACGTTGTAGAAATAACTGTCTAGTTAAAAAAAAAAAGTCAAAGCAGTTTTCAAAGCTCGTTTTGGAAAAGGATTGAGATCTTTCTTTTCTCTGCAATTTCTTTTATTTCTTTTTCTTCTTCCTTTCACTTGATTTTAACATATCATAATAGAAAATGAAGTATTTTTCCTGTTATGTTTATTGAATTAATAAAGACCCTTTCTGTAGGCTTACTTTATTTTTATTTATTTATTTTTTTGGTACTCAGGCTTGAACTCAGGACCTTGTGCTTGCAAGGCAAGTGCTGGAACCACTGAGCTAAATCTCCAGCCCACCTAGGCTTACTTTAAAAATAGTATTTTAGTGCAGGGCATAGAAAGGTACATTTCAAGAACCACATACCTGGGGCTTCCTGGCAGAAATTAATGCAAATGTTTAACTTATTAATAAGAAGGTTTCTAAGTAACAATTTTCTCTGTGAGTCCAGTACTACAAGTATATTAATATTTCCTATTAGAGAACTCTGTGCCCAGTAATAGAGAAAAAAATAGCAAGAATACTTAGAGAAGGAGAGAGGTACATTAGAATTTTCCTTTGTTTTTTGCCTGGAAGTGAGCCCTTAAAAATAGCTGAAATTTCATTTATTAATTGAACATTTTCTATTTTTAAGGAATTACTTCTTGTTTCTGATAAAAATGTTAACTTTCTTGTATTTGTTTTAGGGTATTTAAAATGAACAAGTTACATGGATATATGAACAAAATTAGATTAAAAAGCTGGCTAAAGTAATTTAAAAGCATTAGCATAAGGTTTTATGTTTATCCTTTGAAAACAACTATATCAAATTGCTTTTCATTTAAATTTTAAATTAAAAAAATAGACAATGGCCCTCAAGAGAGATTCTTCTTTGCTCTGGAGTTGGAGTTTGATCTAACGGTTAGAGAACTGAACTAAGATCCTAGTTCTAGTTCTGTCACTAATTAGCTGTGTGGTCTTGTGCAAGATATTTGATATCCCTTAATCTTTTTCTTCATCTATAAAATAAGGGGACTGCATTGTTTCTATGAATCTAACTCTACCAACATACCTAGGGCCAATTCCATGTTCCCCTTGGAAATCTCTTGTGTGTGTGTGTGTGTGTGTGTGTGTGTGTGTGTGTGTGTGTTGTGTGCAGTATTAGAACTGATGTGTTATTTGGGAAAAGCCCCCAATATCTAAAATATGTCTCCTTCAGGAGTGAAATAATAAACACACATTCTTCTGCTAAGACGCTTATAGTATATTATGTCTCAAATTCCTGCTCTCAATTGAATTGAAAGCAATACTAGTTCTGTGAAGAGGTGACCACCCACCTAATTTGATTTCAGTTGTGGCCCAAATACCTGCCCATTCAAAAATTTATCTAACCCTCCCCATCCTCCCAGTCCTAGTCTCACCGTATGGAGTCATTTTTGTCTATTTTGACCTAAAGGTTTGATCATTAAAATCATTATTGGGTCAGGCTAGGTTTTACAAAACATAATCTCAAGGTCCCTTGAGATACTTGAGTCAAGAGGACTATGTAGTTTGAGAAATTCTGCCTAATATAGTCTCATCTCCAAAACATTTATAATGTATATAGCACCCTTGAAATTAAGAAATTCTGAAAAAAGGAAACATGTTTAATTTAATGAACCAGAGCTCTCAAATAATGTGGACATTAAATGCTCTATTTATTGTTAAGACCTATTAACCTCATATAAAGCTAATGTGCTACAAAATATTCTTTGGGGATAATTAATAAAATAACAGAAGTCTCCATAAATTCACAAGTGAGACTTATGTGTGCCCTGTGGGAGAGTGTTTTGGGTCCTTCTGTATTAAGGTGCATCAGTTTATTTGAGTAGTTTCTTGGAACCTAAATCATTTAGGAATCATTTTGAGGGGAAGGATGGGGTAGCAGGAGCCCTACAAAGGCATTCCATGTGTTAGTAGCCTACAGAAGATAGAACCAACAGCAATATGAGGCGTGAATGGTGCAGTAATCTAAAAAATAGCCCTTAGGAGATATCTATGTCGTGTCTAAAACCTATGAATATAGTCTTATTGAAATAAAGCATCTTTGAAGATACAATTAAGTCAATTTTTTTGAGATTGTCCTGGATTTTTCAAGTGGGCCCTAAATCCAATGATAAGTGTTCTTATGAGAGAAACACAGAAGAAAACAGACACAGAAGAGGAGGTGCTCACTGAAGCAGAGACAAGTATGTGGGTACAAATCAAGGACTGTCAACAACTGCAGAAAACCAGAAGAGGCAAAGCACAGACTCTTCCCTACAGCTTCCTGTCTTCCCATCTTCAAACTGGGCAAGAATCAGTGTCTATTCTTGTTAGCCACACACTTTGTGGTCATTTGTTAAGGTAGCGACAGATACTTACATGGGGCAAGAGCACTGGAGGAGAAACTGAGCGAAATCTCCGCCACTGGGAGCGATGCATGAGGCAGGCCTGGCCAGTGGGGGAGCCCTTCACCCTGGGACAGCAGGGGGCCACATTTTTGGCTGTCTATACTCCTCAGCAGTAGCCCTTGAAGGTGAAATACCCACTGTCCTCCTTCTTCTTCCAGGCCACAGAGGCAGAGTGCTGCACCTGGCTTTGAGTCCAGACCAGACCCAGGTGTTTTCTGCTGCCGCAGATGGAACAGCCTGCGTGTGGAATTGCCACGAGACACCTAGGCCCTTCTAGTTCCAGTGACACCATGCCTGAGAGGGGATGATGAGATCAGCCGCTCCTTTTGTGTGATAATGACCAAGCACGGGGGAAGTGCTCTTCCCAATGTGAATGGCTGCTCGCCTCACTGCTTCCTCCCATTGTGTCCCCCAGAGAAGGTCTTTGACTTCTTTCTCTCTCTCTCTCCCTTCTCTTTTTCCCTCCTCCCCACCTCCTCCTCTTCTGCCTTCTGCTCTCTCTCTCTCATCCTGTTTTTTTAGTACTAGGGATTGAATTTGGGACCTTGAGCTTGCGAGGCAGGGGGTGGAACCACTGAGCTAAATCCCGGGCCTCCTCTCTTCCTTTTTAAAGTTTCATCTTCACTGCTTTAATCAGAATAATATCCACAGTAAATATTTCTAAATAATTCTTTTCCAGCGATTCTTCTAAATTCTCCCCTCATATTTCTGCCTGTCTCTGGATATCTTCTTTTTGAGGACCTTTACCATCTTTAGCTCAAACTCAGAAACAACTCATCCATCTGATAGATACTTATTAAAGTTCTCCTGCATGCTATATGTTCTGTAAGCATGCATGCTATCTCCTCATAAAATTAGGTATTCTGTAGATTTTCCTTTCTCCTTGGTCTTAGTCTGTTTTCTGCTGCTACAATAAAGTATGTGAGGCAGGGTGACATACAAACAATAAGAGTTTATCTAGCTCATGATTCTGGAGACTGAGATGTCCAAGAGCATGAAATTGGCACCTGGTAGGGGCCTTTGTGCTGTGCCATCCTATGCGGGAAGGCAGAAGAGCAGGGAGCACACACAGGAAACGGAGACTGTGAGAGAGGAACTCTTTTGTAACAAGCCTTTTTCATGACAACTAACCTTCTCCCATGATAATGGCATTAATCCATTCATGGATTTTTATTCGGCTTCATCTTTTATTAGGCCCCATTGCCCAACGCTGTTGTACTGGGGGTTAAGTTTCCAAACATGAACTTTGGTGACACATTTGAACCGCACCACCCTCTTAATAAGTTCATCTTTCTCCTGGTCACCTGGCCTACTGAGTGTTCCGCCCCATACTTCCTCGATTTACCCCTTGTTCTATTTTATCTTGGCATGTCTGGATACATAGTGGCCAGTCTGTTGTAATTGCCTTCTAATTAATTCTCTGATCTGTAGTCTACTAGAGGCTTCATATGTTACACTTCTGAAAGCACTGTGCTAATCCCGTCAGCCCCTTGCTTATCAACTGTCACTGACACTCTGTTACTTACCTCCCTGGGCATCAACCTCTGGAGTCCTGAGCCCAGGACCTGAATGAAATTTAAGTTCCTGTTCTTGTCTCAGCACCACACTAAACAGGGTGTGTGGCCTTGGATGTATTGCAACATCTTCAAGAATGTGACTTTGTGCTTGATCACTGGCAAGGCTCCTTCAAATTTGCTCAGTCTGTTGCTCTGTCTATTTAATATTAATTTCCAATCAATGTCTACATTAGTTCTTAGGTAAATCTTTTGATTTTCTGCCTTGATACCTTTTGAGGGATTTTTTTAATGTAACCTGGAATTTTTGCTTCTTTTTTCCTTTTCTTTACACTTCTCCAGGGTATTTAAAAATGGTGTTACCTGGGATTGATGCCTTTCCAGTAGTCTGTATCACACACTTGGTATTAATGTGCTACAGTAGTTGTTTCTAAATATTATATTTATATGTGAATATTTGATTATTTTTTTTCTAATACTTGGGATTGAACTCAGGACCTGGCTCTTACTGGACATAGCACCTCGGAGCTACATCCCCAGCCCTTAATTATTTTAGTCTTAACACATTTATTCCCTGGACAATTAAGAAGCATAAATTAGATATTTTGGTGCTCCTTAGAATGTTACTATGTTTATCCCAGCTAAAAAAATATCGATTTGCTTTATCATGAAACTTTAAAAAAATCAATGTATAGCTTCTCCTTTATCTACTCAAAATCCATAAATTTTGATAATTGAAAAAGTGGGATAATTTATACGTTGGGAGTTAGGACTCTCTTGATGAATAAATAGCAATTTTCCAATAAATTCTTTTATTTTTTGTTTACTTTTGGTACTGGGGATCGAACTTGGGACCTTGTGCTTGTGAGGTAGGCAGCAGAACCATGGAGCTAAGTCCCTGGCCTTCTTACCTGTTTTTAACCATTTTTTAAATTAAAAGTCTTTTCTCCATTCCCCTGCCCTACCTTTATCCCCTCCACCCCTCTCTATTTACAAAAACTTTGTTTACAATTTTTCCTTTTCTCATATTTATTCCTTCCCTTTGTTCCTTTCCCCTACTCCTCCCACTTTTCTTTCCCCTTCCCCTTTGGACCTTTTCTTCCTATTTCATAGTATCTATTATATATTTTGACCCTCATTTACGTTTTCAGTTTCTCATACCAGAGAAACTATTTGGTATTTGCACATGTGTGTCCTATTTATTTCACTTAAGAGTATGACTTCAGTGTACATTCATTTAGTTTAAAGGTTTCTAGTTTCTCATTCTTTTTTTTTTTTCAGCTTTAATTGAGTTTATTAGTACATTTTAGGGATACAGTACAGTTACAATCATTGTTGGGATCTTGTACCTCTACATGACAAGTCTTGCTTCTCATTTTTTCCCCTTGTCCCTGCCCTCCCTTTACCCCCTCCTCCCCTCCCCATCTACAACCACTTTATTTCCATCTTTTCATTATCTCACATTTTTTCTTTTCCCTTTTTACCCTTCCCCTACCCATCCCACCTTCCCTACACCTTTAGCTCCTTTCTTCCCATTTCTCAATGTCACTAATCTTATTAGGATCTTCTGTATTATTGCAGATTATTCACACCAGAGATAGTTTCTCATTCTTTATGGCTGAGTAGTAGTCCATTTTATAAAAAACCCACATTTTCTTTATCCAGTCTCCAACTGATGGGCAATTGGGCTGTTTCCAAGTTTTAGCTATTATAAACTGTGCCACTATAAACATGGGGGAGCATATATCACTGTGGTATGATTCTTTTAATACTTTTGGGAAGATACCCAGCAGGGGAATAGCTGGGTCAAATGGGACCTCTAATCCTAGTTTTTTGAGATATCTCCATATTAATCTCTTAGAAAATGTGCTTGATCCTAGTAATTCTTTTCTTAGAAAGTTTCAGTCCACTAAATGCTTCAAATGTCTTATATTTTACAGTGCATACTCTTTCTTTAAGCTAATAGCTTTTTTTGTGATGATGAAGATTGAATCCAGGACCTTGCAATGCTAGACAATTTTAGTATATATGCTGTTGAAGTGAGTGCTTTGCAGTGCTAGACAAACACTCAACCATTGAGCTATATCCCCAGTGCTTGCTAATAGAGTTAATGTGGTCTTTTTAATTAACTGATATAATGTGTAAGAAAATGTTTGGCTGGGATATAAGAAAAATGATTAGGCAATATCCAGTATTCCACACCACTTTGTTTCTGAGTACATCTGCTTTAACAGTTTCACAGCACTATGTCATGACCAAAAGGCTCTCATTTAAGAAAAATATGGATATAATTTTTTTACCCACTATTAGTTTTAGTAGGAAGTTTGGGATATTGTTTTTGTAAAGAAAAAAGTCAACTTCTAGATAACACAAAAAAATAGAAGCCTTGGTTACAACTAATTTTTAAATTTTGTAATTTAAAATTTTTTGTTGAGTAACAGTTCACAGACAGCACATACAGTAAAATACATAAGTAAAATATGTAAGTGTAAAGTGTAGAGCTCCATAAATTTTAGTTTTGAATAGATAACTAGGTAAACACCATCCAGATCAAGATATGAACATTTCTGGTTCCCTAAAGGATCCCCGGTCTTCACTCCCAGTGCACACTCCTCCATTACGCTGACTTCTATGATGGATTGATATTTCCTTATGCCAAGTTTCAGATGAATGGAATCATGTGCTGTGTGTCTGTCATGCAAACTTCATAATAAGTGAATGAAAAAGACAATCCATGTATATTTGTATATGTAACAGAACATGAAGTTTGTGTTGTGTGCAACTATAGCTTGTTCTTTTTCATTGCTGTATAATATTGTATTGTAGAAATTGTATAATTTTTTAACCACTTTATTTTGAATGGATATTTGAGGTCTTTTTTTTTTAGTTTTTAGAATAAAGCTCTGATGCTTTATTTCAGTTTGGTACATACCCTCGAGTGGAGTTGCTAGATCATACAATATGTATATTTGAGTTTTAATAGTCATTAATTTTCCTGAGAAGCACCATTTCACACTTCTACAAACAGCAAATGAGGGCTCCACATAACTACTTTAAAAAAGAGGAGTTTAAAATCTGTAATAAATACTGCTAGTATTTTTCTTTTGCTTTTTCTTTCTCGAGACAGAGTTCAGGGTGGCCTTGAACTCACTGTGTAGCCCAGACTGCAACAATCCTCTTGCCTCAGCCTCCTGAGTGCTGGAATTGCAGGCAAGTGCCACCACACCTGGCTACCTGGCTTCCATCTGCTTTTCTTTCTTTCTTTCTTTCTTTTTTTTTTTTTTTTTGGTGCCAGGGTTCAGACTCAGGTCCTTGTGCTTATGGAGGCAAGCTGTAGAACCACTGAGCTAAATCCCAGCCCTCCATGTGGTAATTGCAGTTAAAATCCTATCTAGGAATAAAAAAATGGTAGCAAGTGTCTAAAGCATTGTCTTAGTGACTCTCTTGAATCCTCTCTTTTAGAATTTAGCACCAGACTTCACTGAGTATTTTAGGGCTTCTCATCCCTGGTGACATATTAACATTGCTGGGGGAGTTCAAATAAAGAAACTGTGTTCTGGGCACAACCAAGTATCAGTTAAATCAGAGTCCCTAGAGGTGGATCTAGGGCATCGGTAATTTGGTGGGTCTGGTGTCAGCTATGGGTGAAAACCGGAGACTGGTATTTTAGTCTAAACTGTGTTCTTTCCTCTAAGAGCTATCTCTATGTGTGTGCAACACCAACCCCTCAAGGGAACTGGTGGAAATTGAAGGAATATGTTCACATGATGACGTCTTAAAATGACTGCTGAGATGATGACTACTAAATTCAAATACTGAATAAACACTATGGAACTTTTTCCAAAGAAAGCCTTCCACAATTCAACACTCCTTCCTTACTATGCAGTGGCAGCCACTGTAACCACTGTGTTGATTGGACACACTGATACCCAAGCGAAAGGAAAACCAAGAAATTATATAGATTAACCAAGACTTAAATGCAGACTGCTAAGAAACAAGGCTGACTTTCTATTATTTAATTTTCTTGGTTGGTTAAGTACTTCATTTATATCCCCTAGAATTTTAATTTCTAGTCTTTATCATGTGTCTTTGGAAAATACTGAAAGTCATTTTATATTTCTATTTCTTCCCTAGATTCAACTTATTGCAAGTAAATAAAAACAGTAGGTATTGATGTATAACAATGGTCTTCAAGGACAGACTTACTTCCTTTTTGCCTAAATGCTCTAGACTGTTTGTTTCCTGCAGAATTGCTGAGTCTTTCACTGTATTTATTATTAAAAAGAACTGGGGCCAGGGATTTAGCTCAGTGGTTCCACTGCCTGCCTCTTAAGCACAAGGTCCAGAGTTTGATTCCCAGCACACACACACACACACACACACACACACACACACACACACACACACACACACACACACACACACACACACACACACACACACACAAAGAAAGGGAAAAAAGAACTAATTTTAGTGTCAATCCTGCTGGGTCCCAGTGAGACAGTGAAGTGAGTAATTCAGGAGAAAATTCTCATGACACTTGATACATGGATGACACTGGTGATAATGTTTCTCCAATCTTCCCCTAATATAATCCACAAAGTGTCCTCTGATTCTTTCACTTTGCTGTTTGACATCTGCTCATGATCATAGAGAACAGAAACAGGCATAGTGATACAGATTGATTTTATTTGTGATATGACAAGAAGTGAAATACAGTTATCTAAACTGCCCTTTCATAGTTTTAATTATCCAGCTGAGGTATTTTTGTGAGAGACGTATGTAGACACCAGGTGCCCGGGGGTCTCCACATCTCCCTTTAGAGCCAAAAGAAGTGATGCCTCGGAAATGACCCTTACACAGCAAAGGGCTTCCAGAATCTCCCTATGGAAAAGAAGAGGTGTGGACATGAAATGGGATCCTTGTCAATCACGACCAACAGCAAAATGAAAGAAATTCTTACAGCGTGTAAAATGAAATTAAGACCAACCTTGACTTAGCTGAAAATTAGTGCTTAAAAAATCAAAATGTTTAGAAATATTTTAGTATTTTAAAATTGGCTCACTGGGTTTTTATACACCAGTGAAAATTAAAATGAAACTTGTGCTGTTTTTGTTATGCACTAATTTTGAGATTGGTTCTCTTCTTCCAGAAAGGCAATCCTCCTGTTTATCATTTTCTCAAAATGCTTATAACTCAAGGGATAAAACAGTTAAATACAGATGATACAATAAGGCAAAGAATAAAATCCATGTTTTCTGGTTCTTTTAGCAATTAGATGTCATTCCAGAGAAACAAAATCAAACTAACCCTTTTTAGGGAAAAATTGGTCTTAGGAATGTATGAAATAAAGAACAATGTGATAGCCTTCTCGAATACATACATTTCTCCTGCCTATTAGAGAGAATTGTCTGACATCTGTAGAATTAGTCTATTGGGATTAGTTTGTCAGTAGCCACTTGAGGGAACTGAGAGAACAGGGAAAGATTGTTAAGTTTCACCAGTAAAGGATGGCTGGTGGCACAGAGACTCATATATTGGGATGTGGCCACGGCCTCAGAATGTTGCATGTGGGGTTCCCAAAACAGGATTCCCAAATTGGAGGATGTGGGGAGGGAATAGTTAAGAGAAGGTAAAGAACAGGAAGTGAAAGAGTGGTAAAGACAATGCCATCTTTGCCTTGGTCTTGAGGGCAAGACCTAATTCCTGGGAAAGAGAGAGTCCTGGCTACAGGATCTTATTTTACTTACATTGCATGAGTCTTTTCCACCATGAGGGCTTCCAGCACAAATCATATTCATTCCAATTACAGGATTAAAATTATAGTGCTGTGGATCATTGCAGGTTTTTCTATCTATGATGGTGACGTTGACTTCTCTCAGAGTATTTGAAGGAGGTGATTTATTGGAAATCACTCCCCACCCTGCAACTTGACATATAGTTTCTGGTTCTATATCATCTCCTTTTTTAGGCAGTTGAAGGGTAGCCACATTTTTGTTAATTATTGCTTTTTTGTTCAGCTGTTGAAAGACAAGCACAAAGAGTTAACAGAAGGAGATAAATATTAACATTTTTACTTAAATGCTAGCTCAACCCACAGGGCCCCCCTCACATGAGTTTGTTTCAGTAGGGGCATGGGGGATTCCATGTAGGTTGCTGGCTTAGGAGTTTCTATGAGTCAAGACCTCAAAGGTCCATACCTGAAGCAGTTGAAGGTCATTTTCAAATGTGCTTGGGTCATAACATGGATGAGAAAACACTCTCTTAATGGACATTATCTGTTTTTCTGGCTCATTCTTGATTCTTGAGTGAGCCCCAAGAATGACCTGGGAGTTTCTGTTCCTGGAATAGACACAACACTGTTCACTGAGTTTGTTCTTTAATCGCGAGTTGAGCATATTACAAATTGATCATTTTCATTCCATCATTTGTAAATGTGCTTTTTATGGATATACCTTGTGATTTGAAGGAATATGTGTGCTTTGAAAGGTAAAAAGTAAGATAATTTGGACTTCATTGTCACCATCCCCTTACTTTGTTTCTTGTTATTTTACCAAAATGCCAGAGACTGAGTATTTTATAAAGAAAAAACTTTTATTTGGCTAGTGATTTTGGTGTCCAAGAACATGGTGCTGGCATCTGCTTGGCATCTGAGGAGGGCCACATGCTGTGTTAACTCATGGAGGGAGTGGAAGGTGAGGGGTATTACGTGGAGGAGACTGTTTGTATACCTGAAGCTATGTAACAAATTGATGTTTGTATGTGATTGAGGAAGTCAGTTTGTAATTTTATTTAGTTTTAATTAAATTTACATAGTCACATGTGGCTGTCATATTGAACAGATTAGGTTTAGAGGCCTGGGGCGAAGTTTCAAGGAAGTCCTAAGAGGCTAAGAGATGGCTGAAGGAATGAGTGGTTCTGGAAAGGACATAGGAGGGCACTGGAAACAAAGTTCTCTACTTGATGGCTGTGCCTGGGCCTCCAAGGGGACAGAAGGTTGACCTTTCCATGCTGTAGCTAATCTTTTTGCAACACCTGTACCTGGATGGTCTTCAGAAAGAACCTGGAGCTGCTGCTTCCTCACTGCGTTGGTTATGAATTTAACTTCCTTTTGGGCTAAGCAAATTCCTAAAGACTTTCCAAATACTTAAGTAATATGAAAACATGCAACATCGCCACATTTCTTAAAAATGGCTTAAACACTTACAGGACACAGTGGGCTGCAGTCAACACCCAGTTTTCCTCAATCAAAGCACCAGCACAGATGTCTTCTTTGTTGAGTTTAAGTAGAACCATGTAGGGTCTTGAATGAGGAATCACTTCATTTCCTCCAATAATTCTTACACAGCCACCTGTTTAGCAGGAAAAGGTAAATCATACCAGTACACTCCAAAATGCTTCATACAAACATGTTTCTAAGGCCAGACATGCTTTTCCCTCTAGAAGAGACATCATGGATGAAAGTGTTTCCCCTGCTTTTATGCCACGAAGAGCTGCAGACATCTGACTGACCCTACTGGATTCTCTGAGACGTCCCCGTTTACAAACACTTTATTTCCATTTTTTTCATTTTCTCCTATTTTTTTCTTTTCCCTTATTCCTTTCCCCTACCCTTCCCACTTTCCCTACACCTTTAGCCCTTTTCTTCCTATTTCATATTGTCAATTATCCCATTAGGATCTTATGTACTATTATAGTTTATTCACACCGAGAAACTATTTGGTATTTACACATGTGTGACTTATTTATTTTACTTACAAGTATATCCTCAGTATTCATTTTCCTATGAATGAATCTAATTTCTCCTTCTTTATGGTTGAGTAGTATTTCATTTAGAATTAATTTGGGGAAGTAGAAGGGATTTTAGAAGTCTGGAAATTTCCTTTTTTACCCAACCTCTCATGAGAGCACAACATACAAACTGACATTAGCACCTTATAGCTATGACCTCCCCGTTAGTCTTTTGGTGAATGAGATTTTCCATTATTGAATTGCTCCATCCTTCCTTAACCTTTGAGAGAATAACACCTATCATACCTAATATCTTCACTTTCTAGACCAAACCACATGGTTTAATCGAAGGCCTTTGTAGTAAGGTAAGGGAAAGGAGCAGAACTAAGTAGAGGATTCTGTCTTAGTAAAGTTCCCTTGATTGACTAGGATTATGTCATTAGAGAACAGTGAGCCCCAAACCCAACACAAACCATACATCCTGGCTGAAAGGATTTTGTGTCTTGGTGAAGGGTTCTCAGCTCACTAGTTTCTATAGCACATGCTTTTGGATTCTCCTAAAACATTTCTCCTGATAAATTCATGGTTTTTATATATGCTATAGTGCTTCTTATCCTATAATTAAAGTGAATTCATTGCCAAATTCACAGTGAGCTATCAATAATGGAGACAATCTTTTCATAAGGGTTAACAAGGGTGAGGATAAGAGAAAGAGAATGACCACAGGCCTGTGGTTTCTATCAGGGAGTTGAGAAGGCAAAATCTAGGTTCTAGAAATTAAGGATAAGGAACTTACAGAAACCAAAAGAACCTCAGCCATATCCCAGTTTTTCCTGAGGTGAATCATAGATAGATAATTCTAAAGGTGCATTTTTTGGACTTTCTAGGATGCAGAAATCATAAACTCAACAGGACTCTCTCTTGTAGAATTTCATGTTTGTTTCGTTGAGTGCATATAGCAGCCTCAGGAATAAATCCATATCTGTCATCCACCTCTCTTAGAAGGGTCTGGGATAAGGGTAGGAGAAGGTGGGAAGGTTTTAAAAATTGATATTTTCTGGGCTGCACTTACAGTTAAATTTAATCCGAATTTCTGAGGCTGGAGCTGTGATGTTAATATTTTTTAAGTGTCCTCCGGATAATGCTAATGAGTAGGAGGGTTGAGACCACTAGTTTAGAGCCTCAGGTCTTCCTGAGCTGTTCGTTCCCTTGTGGGCTCACATTGCTCTCTGTGAACACAGGAAACAAAGTGGAGCAGAGCAAAGAGCTTTTGTTGTTCCCTTTGAAGATAAAATATGGTGGGATTAAAAAAAAAATCTATCGGGGACCGGGGGTTTAGCTCAGTGGTTCCACTGCCTGCCCTGCAAGCACAAGATCCGAGTTTGATCCCCCGTAGGGGAAAAAAAAAAACCTAACTTTCAGGAGGATTTAATATGCCTTAGTATGGTCATCCTATGCCATGCTTGTAATATGCCTACCCTTTAGTCTCAAATGTCCTGCAACCTTGTTTTCTTTTACACGTTTGTTTTAGTTTTAGTTGCAAGATAAACCAGAGAACTTCTTTGGAAATTCCTGGCATTCATGTTATTCTATAAACTACGCTCACTATTTTTACCTCCAAATGCTGATGGGCCCTGGGGAAAATTGCTGGCTGCTTCCATACTTTTCAGCTGATTTTACTCTAGCCCAAGTAAAACTTACTTCCTATGAGGTTCTTCACAGAAAATCTAGAACCACTCAGAAGCAACTGTATTTCTCTTCCAGTAATAATGTTAAAACTGTTATAGCATTTCAACCCCTGCTGGTGGAACTCATACAAAAGTAGGAAAATTGATTACCATTTAGTAACTTAATAGAAAATACCATAGCTTTCTCAAAGAGTTGAAGTGAGGACTTTCCTAAAGTCCTGAGGTATCCCAGGGAGAGGCTAGAGAAATACTATAGTTACAAAAATTCTAATCATTCTGGATTCACTCCCAGTGTCTCATTCAAATTTGTCTCAATTTTCTTTAGTATAAAATTACCTATGCATATATGCAGGAAGGCCGAGCTTATAACTGGTACTGCAAAATGGAGCTTTAAAAGTTAGTATTTTTTTCCTTTAGGATAAGTGGCTTCTCCAAACCTATGACATAAACCAACCCCCCACCTCTCCTCAGTCCAGAGGAATAGACAATATTTACAGATGCTGGCACATGGAGGTTAAAGTCCAACTTAATTTCCTTAGGCAGGGGAGGGAAAAGTCTGGGCCAAGGAAGGAATGGCGCACATCTGAACAGGTGTATTAGCTCAGTGTTCCTCCTGTGCCTTCCTTGTTATAAAAGACCCTAACACCTGCACATGATGAGGTGGTGATTTGAGGCAAATGGGTCCCTCCTATCTCTGTTGAATAAATCCTTTTCACACACACACACACACACACACACACACACAAGTCTCCCTTGATTTGGTCAGAGGCAAGCAAAAGAACTTGAGTGTCTGAATCTATGTATTCCTTTCCTGAAAGGTAACCTGTTTTTCTAACTAAAAAATATTTTGTATGCTTGTTTGCTCATTTTTTTTTTTTTCGAGGCAGGGTGTGCTATGAAGTTCAGGCTGGCTTTGAACTCACTATATAGCCCAGGCTAGACTTAACTCTTTGCAATCCTCCTGCTTCAGCCTTCTGAGTGCTAGGATTACAAGCACACTCCACTGTGCCTGGCTGTTTGCTCATTTTTATTGTCCTTTTTAGTAATTTTCAACCTACAAATTGGCAGCAATAAGTATTGGTGGTTCTGTTATCTTTTGGAAAAAGAATATAAAGAAGAAAGAAGAATTCTTCTAAAATAAAGAAATCATTCCTAAAGAAATTAAAAAAGATTACAAAACATATTAAAACTTGGGGAAAAAATAAGGCACTATTATCAAAGTCATTGAAAGTGGCTCTATTTTGCTTAGTGATCATGAAAATGACAAGAATCAGTCTTACCTTCAGGAATTAACAGAAGAAAAATGACAGTCAAGAGAAAAGGTGCCAGAAGTACATAGCAGTTTCTCATTGTGGTAGGCAGATGTCCCCACATCAATCAACAGGAACATCTAGTTTTGGTTCTCAACTTGCTCACTCTATATAGAGGAGTACAAAGGATGTGGTTTTCTCTCTTCTCCTTCCTTCACATTTCAAAGCTTTGCACTAGGAAATACAAGCTAGAGCAGTGAATATCACTCAGTGCCAGTGGAACGTGGGGCTGGTGTGGGGACATGGGTTGGTGGGGTAGGGGCCGCTGGCTCTTTCCAGGTCTGTTACTGTGCTCTCCCTGATTGTTTGATGTCACAACGCCAGGTACCAAAGGTATCCCTTCTTTAGCTGAGAAGAAAAGTGAGAATTAGACATGGCTAATTTGTTCTAATATTGGGGAATATCTCATTAAAAAAGACTCAAGCTCAGTCCCTGGAGGAATAAAATGGAGTAAGATATCTACTAGAAATGTCTTCAGCTCTTTTTCTGAGCTGAAGAGATGGTTTTTTAATGCAATACATAAAGTCACACATTTTGTCAGAATATCTGGTGTTGAACCAACTATCCCCACAGTTAACACCCTGTTGACTTCAGACCTAGTGCTTCCTTCTTTAGAAATCAACACTCTTATGTTTTCAGAACTAGTGGTTAATTTTTTAGAAATCATATGATCTTAGAAGGGACTCCTTCTGAGACCCCTGGGTTTCTTTTATGCAGATCTCATTAGTGCACCACAGTTTCCTCATTAGTGCATCAGAGTTTCATCATTTTTGGTAATAGCAGTGGGATATTCTGCTTCTGTTTTTGATGAATAAGTTTAGTGAAGACTTAAAAAAAGTCAAGTTTTGGGGCTGGGGATTTAGGTCAGTGGTTCCACCACCTGCTTCACAAGTGCAAGCTCCTGAGTTTGATCCCTAGTACAAAAAAAAAAAAAAAAAAAAAAAATAAAAATTTTAATTAACACC